TTTTTTTTTAATGTAAAAAAGAGTTGGTGATTCTAACCTGGTCCTTTGTAAGTTCCATCATTAGTAATAGCCAATTGACAGGGCCACTTTGGGCCAAACTCCTTCACTGGTTGTCCAGATCTTTGTGGCCTTACCTTTAACAATTGTATCCATACAATGTTCTCATTAACTGATATCATTTCAAACTTTGAATGATGCTCCATTCCATCACTTGTCAAATAGACCTACGAAGGTCAGCCCTAGTCGTTTCTTAGAGATAGCCCAATTGTGTCTGGGCTTCAGCTTTCAGGGCTTTCCACCCTTGATTTATGAATCTGTGATACTCCAAGCCTGATGAAGCAGGGCTGACCTGTCTAGACACCCCTCTCAGGGAGGTGGACAGACACACTGACCTGGGTACTTTCAGGAGTAGGCTGGGGTGGAGAGAAACACAGCAACCTGGCTAACTGGGCTCTCTCCCAGAAATATCTCAACTGTTAATAGTTCATGTTAAATTTGAGATAAAACAGGGCAGGAGATGTAGACAGAGACCAAATTCCCTAAGCAAGTCATCCTAGTTACTCCTCAAAATGTTACAGTGTGTCACTGTCCTTCCAGTTTGCAGTGTGTGTTGAAGGGGCTTCTTTATTGCCTAGTCTCTTTCTGAGGTTGCAGTTGGGGTTGTGCCATCTTGAGTTTCTGTATTGAAGTTCAAGTGAGTCACTTATGCCCTTGGAATGGTTTTTTAGTTTGTCAGTATTAGATGTGGATGGTGTTCTGAGGTAGTCATGGCATCAACCAGGGTGGTCAGCGTGGCCCTCAAATGGAGCAGCAGCATCCACACTACATATAATTGTTTTGAAGGGCAGTGCTGCCCATGCATGTCCTCTGATCAGTACCCCTGACAGCTGGACCTACTGTCTGGAAGCCTGTTGCTGCTTCCCAGTGGCTGGGTGCAGTGGGGCTGTTGGTGCTGCTGAAATTCTAGATCCAGGCCTTGAAAAGCACCACCTGACAGCTGCTTCTTTTCCAGGAGGAAAGGTCCTGGCAAAACAGATGCCCACCTCTTTCCTTTGCCTAACTACCAGTCTCCAGATTATGTGGTTCTTTGCAAAAAAAAGTCTTAACTTGTATGTCAGTTTCTAAAGACAACTCCAAATGAAATGAGGTTGACCTAGGTGTTTTGTACAAGGTTCTGGACCTCCTCATTGAGTGCCTCCCATCAGTGTGTACTTTCTGTGCACAACTTATCCCTTCAGCCACACTGTCATGTCCAGAGTTATAGGCCTAGATGACTGAATGAATGTACATGTGTTCATATTATCTTCTTTGTACAGTGTATATAATGTGTGTACATAGGTGTACATTATGTATACAAACATGTAGCCACATATTCAAACTTCTATGTTGTCAAGAGTTGATGCTAGCGTTGCTAATGTGGATAGATGTTGGTGTTGCAAGGTTCCCGTAACAGGAACATATTGCTGGTGAGTTCCTTACCAACTTCATTTTCCTGAGACGGGGAGCTGCCTGAGCCCGGTGTCACTTACTCCTGCACAAGGAAGCCTTGAGCCTGAAAGGTCCTGATAAGAAGGCAGTTCTCTAAGTTTACAGGGCCCAGAAGCTGGAAGTGACATTAGCCTAATATCCAAAACTAAGGATAAACCTGCTTTTCACAAACCAGTTTAACTTAACTGGAAGGAACTTGGTGACTGAAACCCTCAGTCTTCTCCAAAGCCTGGAGCTTTGTGTGGCTCAGAGACAGGCATTTGGGATCTAGGGGCTGCAGCAGTCTCCCTTGTTTATCCTGGGCTCTGTCAGCGAGACTTGGGTGCTCTCTGGTGGTTTAAAAAAAAAAAAATCAGTCTACCAAACATTCTCTGAAAACAATGGGGATAGCAAAAGCCACAATTAGTAAACTATCCTAACTTAACTACATTCTGTAAAAGTTGTATTTAATAGTAAGAAAGCTAAGGTTGACATTTTCCTCATCCACCAGGTCTATGCTGATATTTGTCCCCTATGATTGGGGTTTTTAGGCTGAGATGTGGACTTGGGAGACAGGGCCCAGCTTGGCAGAGGCTGCTAGTGGCCACAGTGAGCAGGCACATGGCTTCAATGAAGCCAAGTGCAAAAACTTGCCTGACCCACAGGTTGCTCTATGTGTTTTTAAAGTAAATTACTGGCGTGTTTTAAGAAATAATTGTTAAGACTGTAGTCCTCAGTGCCTTTGGTGAGACGTGGGTCTTTTGGCTTCAGCTTCCCACTTGTGTCCCTGGCCTCACCCTTTGTGGTTGTTCAATCTTGCCTGTGTCGTTGCCTGTTGTGACAATCACACTATTAAAAGTGGCTTTCCGAGTAGAACACAGGGAAGCTTGGCAGTCCCTAATGAATCCTTCCATTTTCTTTGGGGCTATTGTCTTAGCAGCAACCTAACAGTAAACTTAAAAGTGGCTTAGGAAGGGGGAAAACATCAGACATTTCTAATGCTCAGCAATATGCACTTTTAGTTGATTTCAATATTGATATTTATACATGGAATGTAGGAAAAATGCTCAACATCACCACTGTTAAGTTTTAGTGTTTAGGTAACATTTGGTATAGACTGCACATTAAAATTGGCCTTTCTTCAGGAAAGTACCATCAGTTTTCATCCCAACAGCCTACTCATTCACGGATGCTAATGCTGCTGCACACACAACTCAAGTGCTGGAATATTTTTCTAGTCTGTTTTCCCAATTAACTTGTAAATCAGTGTTCAACTAGTTTTATAACTGAAAAGCTGCACATTTTTTTTTCCTAGTACCAACTAGTTTGTACCTGTAGTTTGGATTTCTCTGTTAAGATACAACCTTATTGCCACCCCCCACCCCCCACTCCCTTTTTAGAGGACATCTACTAAAGGAAAGTCCAGTGTGGAATTTTCTTGGGACTGGTTGTGTAACTTCTGCCCTTCATACTATAGAAAACACCATGGATGCCATTACCTTTTGATTCCAGGTTAAAAACCTGCAGAGAGCTGCCATTTTGTACAGCTTTTCTCCCCATGTAAATGAGCTATGTGATGGCATTTAAAACCCGCATGTTCTTTTTAAACTGACTTTTCTATCTAATCAATGTCTTCAGTCCTGAAGGAGAAACTGCATTGTTGTGTCTGTATAGAGAGTTGCTGTGCATGGTTACGAGCGCCTTTTACTAAATGCTGTTCAATGTGGCTTTGTTGTTGTGGCTTAATACTACCTACATGAGGTTTATACTATTAAAGTAAATTAAAGACTAGTGTGTGTGCTGCTCATCATTTTTTCCTCAAAACAGTAACATGTGGCCTGAAGCCCTCCTGGGAACCAGCAGTGGGCAGAGACTCTTCTCTGCCCTCCATCAACACCTTCATAATCAAGTGGAAAGACCTTTGGGGTAAAACTCAGACTGAACTTTCCATGGCCATGCAGCATGGACATAAGGCCCCTACACAGACATTTCCAGAGCGTGGTGGTGAGTTAGGTGTGTCAGACAGATTTCAGATGTGTCAGATGTCAGGCCCATACACTGGGTAGGTATTTGCTGTGGGTAAAAATGTGAAGTCCTTACAGAGCTCACAGTTGCCGGTGGCACCTCAATGTGAAAACTGTCACTTCAGAGGACCATCATGTCAACTCAGTTCCTTGTGTGGTCAGTTTCATGCGTGTAAAACCTGTCACTACTAAAGTGATAGATTTAAAGAGGTGACTTCTCCCGGTATCAATGTTTTTCTCAGACCTGCATCTGCTCCAGGCCATCAGTAAGAGTGACTCTGTACAAGTTATCAGTTGCCCACAGGTTGCCCCTGCCACAGCTTTGGCAGAATCAGGGTCAGGACCAAAGTGAAGCTCAAGAATTTGTCCCCTTGGGGCCTGGGCTTTATTCCTTTTTTCAAGGTCCATGCTTAAGATTGGGGCCCCGGCCACATCTGGCATGGAAGGAAGCAGTCTATTCACTGGTACCAGCCAATAAGGATACTATGGGAACAGAAACTCAAAGAATTACCTTTTGGGGGTGCTATACCAAATTCTATTCAGGCACTCTTAACCCTTATACATTAACAGTTACAAGCACCCATTCCACTGCAACCTCTACCTGGTCTGCTCCAAAATCACAAACCAAAACCAAAAGGAGATAATAGAAAGGCACTATACTTATACTGCAAATATAAGGATTCCATTTGCACTGCCTCCCTGAGGCCCCTGCACTGGGGGTCAGGAGAATGAGAGTGACCTGCATATGCCTAGGGGAGGGCAATTGTCCTGTTCTGTTGCATCTAAAGGGCCTTGGGCATTTTTTAACAACCACTGCTTTATTTTGCCTCATAAACTCATACCTATATGGCCAAATGGTCTGTGGTAAACATTAAGTGACCCTGGAAGGTTCTGCTGTCCACTAAAGGATGGAGTCTACATAGCTAAAATGATACTGATGATACTGATAACTGGGAAAAATAACTAGAAAGGCATCCAGAAGTCAGTCTGTGTCTGTCTCTCTCTTACCTAGTAAGCAAGAATTGAGAGTCAAATTACCACCCAGGTGGTATCTTCACTCTCAAAGCCAGAAAAATCCCTGCTACAGTTAACACAATGCCACTGGCACTCCTCCACCCACATGGACTACACAGCAGCAGGAAGTGGACAAGAGATTCGGTGCCTTCAGCTCACATCTGCTGAGCACAAAGACCTGAACTGCCCACGGTCTTGTTACTAACTGGGGCTGGAGAACCTTCCCTCTCTCAGGAAGCAAGAATTGCAGGCTTTAGTATACTGCCCACATGTTTGCTTTGGACTGTTAAGTAAGAACATACTCTCCCAACTACATTTGGCTCTCCAGTAGCAGTAGCCCTCAAGACCTTCCGGTAGAAACTGCAGGAAGATTAAATGAAGGAACCAGGTCCAGTTACAGGACTGAGACAGTCACTGACAAACTGCCTTGCACCCTCTCATCCCAAGCCCTCTGATACAGATGGTCTCTGTACCAGCAAGATCAGACTTACTATGTATAGGAAGACTAAATCTTTTATTGACATCTATTCAGCAGTTGGCAACCTGGCCTTCATCCCATGTCCTTTAAATGGATGTGCAAGCCGGCCTTTCCATTGCAGAGTTCCATCATTTATGGTACCAGTGTAATCCATCTCCGCCAGTCAGATGCCACCAGTCCATCCCAGATGACCTTGCTTAGTTAGACCTAAGTACTGGCTTTCAGAGCAGCTTTGTACTTCCCTGTCATTTCCTTGGGTAAGGGCACCAGGCCAGGGCAGGGCACCTGACCTTCTACTTCGCACATGCACTCCCGCAGGCAGTACTTCCGGGGGCCAAAGTTGCCTGGATGAAAGCGTTGCTGCTTCTCCAGCTCCTCCTCCCTGAGGGTCTCCCTGTCAAGGAACAGAGTAGCAAAGCATGACCAGGGGCTCAGGCAAAGGCACTGAGAAGCAGACCATTGGAGCATCCCACAGGGATGGGGGTGAAGGAGCCTATGTCCTGAGAGACTTTCTTGGCTTCATGTCCTTCTTATCCTTCCTCATTGAAGGAGCAGAAAAGAAATTGGGAACAGAGTCTAAGCTTCCCTTTAGCTGCATGCATGTCAAAGCAGGGGTAACCCTTGTTCACTGTCACAGCAAGGAAGTGGGCAAGAGATTTGGTGCCTTCAGCTCACATCTGCTGAAAGACCGGGCCTGAACTGATCCTACTGCCCCATGTCTTGTTACTAACTGGGGCTGGAGAACCTTCCCTCTCCATACCCTGCCTATATGTTCCCTTCACTTTCACATTTTTGGGGGCTGAGTTCTGCTCCTGTCAGGTCAACCCAGCAACTCACTCTTTCTTGCCCAAGATTGTCTTTATGTGCTCCACGATCTCCTTATTACTCTTCGTCTCCACGTCTACCAGGACTTGCTCCCCAGAATCTGCAAACAAGAGGCACAGAGGCAGGAGAGCTGAGGACTCAGGCATACTTCTCAGCCTCAAAAGGCTGAGACTGCCAAGATGTCACACATACCTGTGGCCTTGTAAGGTAGGATGATTGACAAGTCAAGACCATCATGCTCTCCAACTTGCTTCTAGTAGTAGAATTCAATATTCTTAAAAAAATTTTTAGATTATGTATATATGTGCATCGGCATACAAAAGTGTTAAGTACCTGAAGAATCCAGAAGAGTGTGAGACACCCTTACCCCTCAAGGAGCTGGAATTACAGGCAACTGTAACCTACAGCTACCTATAACCATGAGAGACATGCTCAATAGCAAACATACAACCAAATGGGACAGAACCAAGACCAAATAAACTCTTCTATTTATGGGCTACTGTTTTCAGCAAAAGTGTCAAGAAAATTTGAACTTAAGCTTTTTTTTTTTTTAATCAAACACTGGAACTGGCTACTCACATGCAAATAAACATTAGGAAAAAATTTAAATGGACCAATGACATAAAGCTACTACTGTGTGTATGTGGAGGACAGAATAAATCTGTGGAGTTGTCCACTGTTTCCAAGTGCCAAGTCCTTTATACATATACAATACAAACACACTCTAGCTAAAATATTTTATAAAACTTACAGAATAGAGCTTATCAGACAGTGCTTGCCCTGCACATGGAGGCACTGAGTGCAGCCACAGCATGGCAAAACAAAATCAAAAACATTACAAGAGAAAATCTTAATGATCTTACTAAGGAGCAAATCGTTTCAGGCATGATATTTAAAGTGTGATCATAAAAAAGTCAATAACTTGAATTTAAAATTCCTTACTTTCTGTTGTAGAAAACACTGTAAGCCAAAAAGTGGAAGAAAATACTTAGAATGCACATATATCTGATTAAGGATTTTCATCAGAATATTTATGAATTCACAACTCTGAAAGATATCTGAAAGATATCTGACTAAATGTTTGAGATAGTTTGCTACTTTAAAAATTAAAAAATACAAAAAAACCCAAAAATTTAAAAATACAACAGCTAATGACGCACATTTAAAAAGTAATCAATATTACTAATTAAGAAAATACAATATTACAGTGACTAAACCTTGTAAGAGCAGACAACAGAAGGCCCTCATAAAGAGGCTGGTTGACTCAAGCTCAGATACCGTGGAGGTGCACAACACTACTACTGCCTAGACCAGTGAACTGAGACAAAAGGAAACTGCCAAGATTAGGGAAGGACTGTCATGCTTTGTTTGCAGATGATGTGTCTATAAGTAAAATATCTTAAGCAATCAATGAAATTACAAGAAATGATGTCAAATGTAAATACAAAAACCAACTACCACCAAACCACAAGAAAATGAAATGTTTAAAATATTAAAAGCATCTTCAGTACTACAAAGATGGTTTATAATTCAGTGTGACGAACTACAGCCAGCCATTTTTATAGAACCTAGCAAACACCTTCAAGTTTATATAATCCTGACACTCAGCAGGCCAATGCAGGAGAACCACAAATTTAGGCTAGCCCTTGGATCAAAACAAACGAACAAACAAAAAACCCAGCAAAGGACTAAATAACTTGAGGAGGGGGGATAAAGTTGGCGCCCAATTTCAACATAAAGCTATGAAACAAATCAATGAGGCATCAGAAATTATGTAATAAAGTAGCTTTTATATATGGTAAAATACACAATTAGGGTCTGGTGAGATCACTCAGCAGTTAAGGGTGCTTTCTTTCTAGCACCAATATGATAGCAAACAACCATCTGTAACTTCAGTTCCAGGGAATCCAATGCCCTCTTCTGACCTCCCTTCCGGGTACTGGACATGTATGTGGTGCACATACATACATAGGTAAAACACTCATACACATAAAATAACTTTTAAAAAGCATACAATTGACATTTTAACCAAAACAACTCAGTGTTTTTAATAATACAAAACCATCCTGTTACCCACTCAGTTACTATCACTTCAATGCTTTGAAAGTTACCTCTTTTGGAAATTTACTGGTTTACTAGATTGAAGGTATAAATACTTGAGTCCTTCACCACAGCACAGGGAGAACATATTGTTCTCCATCATGATCATTGATTTTGGACAGTGATACTAAAAAAAATCCAATGAGGGAAAGTACAGCATGTGTGTTCAACAGCTGGATATCCTCAATGCAGAAAACAAAACTCAATTTCAACCCTGCCTTTAGTACACAGGAAAGAATTCAAAAAGTGTATCATAGAGTGGAGTGGAGGCCCTGTAGTTAGGAGTGCTTGCCGAACAATCGTAAGGACCAAAGTTAAGATCCCAACACCCATAAAACAAGAGGGTCATGACACATGTTTAATCCTAGTTCCAAGCAGGGGTGGAAATGAGGATTGCTGGGGTTTGGCTTCCAGCCTAGCTAAAAACACAAGTGCCCTGTTCGTGGAAAGACCCTACCTTAAAGGGATAGGCAGAGTGATAGAGGAAGACATCCAAAACCCCCTTCTGGCCTCCATATGTGCACACAGGCACTTGTGCCAGCACACAAAAATTATACGCATTTTAATAAATATATCTCAGGCTGGGAAGATGGCTCAGCACTTATCACTCTTGTAGAGGACCTGGCTTTGATCCCTATCCACAGGGCAACTCAAAAACACCTGCAACCTGAGTTTTTAGAAGGTCTTGCCTTTGCTGGCTCCTGCATGCATCAGGTACACATAAATTCAAGCAAGCAAACCCACATAACATAAATTTAAAAATCCAAAGTATCACAGGAGCATAAAATGTAATTATACTCCCCTAAGGAAAAATAAGAGGGGCTTTGGGGTAAGCAAAGGTATCACAGACAGGCCACAAACTTACTAAACCAGAAAAAAGTGGATGACCGAGAATTGATACAAATTAAGACTTTTTCAAGCCCCTCACATGAAGGCTGGGAGTTAAAAGGCCACAGACTTGAAAGTTACCATATACTCACTGTCTCACACAGAACTGTCCCCAGAACACTGAGCACAAAGAATGTAAGACAGTCCACACTGGCTCCTAAAAATGCTGCTGAAAGTGAAAGGTGACTTTGCAGATCAACTAAACTGAAGATGACCTCAAAAGTTACACTGAAAATTTCTGAGAGCACCTGCAGGTAGGACAAGGTGACTAGGATTGGCTGAGGTCATGAAGGTGGGTGGGTCCCAAGGATGGCAACAATAACTACGTGACAGGGAGAGATAAGTCACCAGCTTGCTTTCTGGTCAGGTTAGACCCTCTACTCTGTTGTCACACAGGAAGAACAAGTTTAGATGTGGCCACCCCATGCACCCCTTCTGTTATCTGTTCTCTGTGGCTGTTCATGCCCACGACAGAACCTTAATTATTAAAACTAATGTTTTTTAAAAAAGAGGAGTTTGCAAAAGAAATTATACCAGGCTCTTCCCAGCCTTCCTTGCATTGGACTCTGGTTCCCAGGGGCCAAGATGCAGTCCTGTGGTGTCATCGGCCTTTCCCACAGGGTACAGGTTAGCAGGGGGACTGCCAGCACAAGCAAATGGCTTTGCTATGTCATGTGCAGAGTTTTAAGGGCAGCTCCAAATCCCAGATAACCACCTAGCTCCCAACCAGGGACAGGTCCTTTCTCCCTCTGACTCTACCATCCAGAAATGAAAAAGGAATTTTCTCAAGAGATTCTTGTTTACATGAAATTCAGAGGCAAAGCAGGCAGGCATACAGTGGCCATATCAAATCCCAGCATTTGAGAGGGTCAACCAGGAAGACAAGTTTGAGGCCAGCCAGGACTATACAATCCCATCTCAAAAAGTCCTAACCTACTGTCCCTGAAGAAGGGGACTGAATGCCAAAGGGAAGTATCTTGGTTCTCACTATAGACCTGTTCTATGCCATGCAATGGCTTCATCACATGTCCAGGGCTAGCTGTGGCTCCAAGCTGTAATACTTGCCTAGCAAGCACACAGAGGCCCTAAGAACACAAAATCCTATGATGGCCTTCCTTCATCACAGGACTTTGTTGACCATCTTGCTTCTTTCCTGTGTCTTCTGTCTCTCTCATACACAGACCACCCCCATCCCCACTACATACACATAAAGCCGAGCTTTTTGCCCATGGACTCCTTGCCTGCCCAGCACCTGCCCCACGCTGACCCTCAGTGTTATTCCACATGTACTGCACACTCAGTGTGCTTTCTGTGGCACTTTCTATCTATTATCCATAAACCAGGAATGCTAGTGCCTAGCATCAGAACAAGCAAGTAGAGCACCCACGAGACATGGTAGGAGCAGAAAGAAGATTGTGGTCAGCACTGAGGGGTACTAGGTACCTAAGGGTCAAATCCAGGCCCTTTATATTTGGTTTGGGAGTTTTGCAGTGCAGTACACTTTACCTCTGAGCGATCGACATACACCTCCAGCAAAGGATATCTGTTTTCATTCTGTAAGCTCACAGGCAGAGTGAAGACACAGTAGCACAAAACAACAAAGGACTGTGGGTAAACTGGCCCACACGGTAGAGGACAACTAGAGATGAGCTGAAGAAAGACAGGTGAAGGGGCTGGGTCTAGATCTCAGCAGTCACTGGGCAACTGGCAAGGGAAGCTAAGGCCACAGCTGCTTACAGCTGGAAAGGTGCAAGCGGTCCTTCCATGCCTCACTCACCTAGATAGAAGCGCAGGAAGGGCGATGGCGTCATGTTCTTAAACAGCATGATCTGCACCCAAGGATTCTTATACTGGATCTGAGGGATGTTGAAAAACACAAATTTCCTGCAAAAGGCAAGAAATGAACCCATGTAACAGCTTTTTAGAAATGAACTCATGTACATCTCCATGTCTGATGTCAAAAAAACTCCAGATCTCCAACTCCAGCTTTGTTGACTGCAACTTACTTCTTTCTCTTATGTTGGCTCCACACCCTGTTGGCAGCTCTCCATGGTAGGTATCCCACAACTCTGGCATCTCCAGTATTTGGGGTCTACAATGTAATCTAGGTTATACCTTTACAGCTTCATACAATGGGCTCTCAGAAACTCCATGCAGGAAGTGTCCTCCCAAATGCCTCAGCAGCTTTCCTTAGCTATGGAGGAAGGTTCCATAACCCCCTTCCTTTATCCTTGACTAAATCTAGAACCAGGTGGCTGAAGCTGTCAAGTTCTTCTACTTGCTTAGACTGGAACTTGCCCCCTCAAGACTTGCATTGCCTAAGTCTTAACTGGTTAACGGTTTCTAAGCAGAAGAAGTCCACCAGGCTTATCCCTTTCACAGGAATTGTTGCAGGATTATCAGTGGTAGCCTGACTTAAGGGTCAAGTAGTAACTCCTTTATTCCATTTACCACCAGGCCTTTCTTTAAACTTTTTATCTCCTTGAGCACAGGATTTGGTTCCATCGTTACATCATTTCCTGGTGCTCTTTTTTTTCCTCTTTTTTTGCACAATTTGTATTTCTCTTCACCAGTCCTGTTCCTTTTCATTGTAGATCTGTGTAACCACACAACATAGTCAATACTATGCTGTCTTGAAATCTCCTCTGCTGATGCCATTAATCCAAACCACTTCAAGTTAGCTTCTGGAAGATCTTTTGGACAAGGGCAAAAGAGCAGCCACATTCTTTGCCAAAATATCACAGTGGTCTCTAGGCCAGCTGCTAATATTTTTCTTCCTCTGAACTCTCTTTAGCTAGGCCCCTACAATCCACATCGCCCTCATTACCACTGTCTTCCATGTTCCTGCTAGGATGGCTCAGTATGCCTCTCTAAAGTGTTTGAATGCATTTCTAGCCCAAAGTTCCAGTCTCCCATATTCCTTCAACAAACATCATGGTCAGGCAATATTTCCAGTCCTTGGTACCTACTTCTGTTTTAGTTAACTGTTCTATTGATGTGAGGAAACGCCATGACTAAGGAAATTTTTATAAAAATAAAGCGTTTAATTAGGGACTTGTTTACAGTTCGGAGAGTTATTCCATTATCATCATGTTGTGGAGTTGGTGACAGGCAGACAGGCATAGTGCTGGGGTAGCTGAGAGCTTACATCTGATCTGCAAGGTGCAGAATGAGCAAGAGGCACTGGGCCTAGCATGAGCTTTTGAAACCTCAAAGACCACCCTTAGCAACACCGTCCTCCAACCAGGCCATATCTCCCAATCCTCCTAATCCTCAAACAGTTCCACTCCCTGGTGACTAAGCACTCAAATATATGCGCCTCAGGGGACACTCTTGTTCAAACCACCACACCCTGTGGCAGCTTTCTAGAAATGAACCTATGTAAATCTACAAGAGTTTCCTCCCTGAAATTCTGTTCATGCCTTTTCCATGGGGAAAGTCTGGAACTTGACAAAGACTGTAAGAGGAACCTGCTTCCAAAAAGGTGAGGAAAAACAGGCACAGAAGACTGGTGTGTCCTCAACACTTGTACTTCTGAAAGTATCAGGACTCATGACTGGTCACTGAGGAAAACAAACCAATGCTCCCTCACAGAGTTCCTCAGCACCAAGTCCAGAGTCCTGTGCAAACAGGGCTGTATCTCCGTATGTGCAGTAGACATGTTACTGAAAGGCTCCTTAACACTGTGTAGAAGGAATGACAATAGTATAGGAGTGTTACACGGCAGACATGAAAGAAGACCTTGAATCGTAGAAGGCTGAAAGAAGATAATTTTGGATATACTATTTACATGCCAAAAATGTCAAAAACCAAATTCAACATCTGATGAGTGGGTGGGGTGACACACCTATAGTCCCAGACTCCAGTGCCTGAGGCAGGAAGACGGGCATCCAAGGCCAGTCTGGGCTACACAGGGCTCAAGCAAATAAACATTGACATTTGCCAAACTATAAGAAAAATATCTGTTAAACATTAAAAAGTGCTAATTCTGCTAAAATACCATAGTACATATCTTCAGGAAAACTGGTTCTGGGCTATAAGAGAGTGGGTTAACTGCCTTATCCTGTCTGGCAGTCAGTTTACGACGAGAAGCTTTAAAGCTAGCTTTAAGACTAACATCATTCCCCTTTTTAGATATCTCAGCACCCGAATGAACACAATGGAACAGAAGGTAAAGATACTGAGGTTCAGGCTGGAGTACTCAGATCAGCATGGCACACCAAGAGAGCCCTGGCTAAATAAGTGATGACCCAACTGCAGCAGAACGCCACAGCACGAGGCCCAGGATTCCATCTGAGAACCACAACAACAAAGCATACATGGCTGTCCACAACACAGAGCAAATCTAGACCAATCCTGGCTCTACATACTGACCCCTCACCACCATGAATCCACCTGCTATAAGGACTACCTTGCTGTCTGGCTTCACAATGGGTTCAAAAGGCTATTGGGAAGTACCAGTGACAGGTAAAGGGCATCTATTTCTTTTCCTGGCTCAGCCTGGCATGTCCAGCCTGAAGGCTCCTGTGGCCAGACCCCTTGGTCCTCATGCTCCACAGACATTCCTTCCCTCCCTTGCCCAGCACAGGCTGGGGCCCATGCTTTCCCTCACTCGAGGTCTCTTCTCCCCACTTCTGTCACACTCTTGTGAGCAATCCCTTACTTAAGGCTCCTCAAATGCCCTCACTAAAGGCATCCTTGCTTCCCACTCAATCTGCCCCACACCCACCGACAAGGTTCTGGATCCATGCAACAGGAGCATGGCTTTCTATTTTTAGTCACATGACCCAAAGCAAGGACCAGCTCTTTACCTCAATGATTATGCCAAGAGGTTCCTACACTACCAGTCCAGATTGAAGCATCTAAAATAATTTCAGGGATGAAACTGAGTCAACAGAAAGCCTGCCTGAAACCACCTGAGATACTACCACAACTGGGACAGACTCTGCAACTAAACAAAATGCTAAAAACGAAATGATTAAACACAAGTAAATACAAGGATTTATTAAAGCCAAGAAGGAAAATTAATCACACATTCCCCCTTTGGCTTAAAGTCACAGAAAATGAATATTTGCAGTGTTTAAATTATCAGAGAACTCAAGTTCTCTCTGACTGTTCAGAAGTGACCTTCTAGGGAGGACTGGTTGAACAGGATGCAGATGTGAGTACAGACAGTGGCAAATGCCATGAGAATCATACTCCTCTTCCAGCAGGGTCTAAAAAATCAAAAGGGTGCTAGTGAGCCGGCTCAGTCACTAAGGTACTTATTGCACAAGCAAGACCACCAAAGTTCAAGCCCCAGAACCCATTTAAACACACATACAAACAAAACGGGTAAGGGGTTATAGAGATGGTTCAGTGGTTAAGAGGACTTGTTGCTCTTGCAGAGGACCCAGGTTCAGTTCCCAGCACCCACATGGTGGCTTACAACTATCTGTAACTCGTTCCAGGCAATCTGACTCGCTCTTCTGACTTTTATGAACACCAGGCACCCATGTGGTGTACATACATACATGGAGGTAAAACATTCACATATAAATTTTTACAAAGCAAGCCAGGTGTGGTGGCACACATCTTTAAACTAAGTAGTTAGGAAACAGATAATCAAGAAGACCTTTTGTGAGCTGGAAGCTAGCCTGGTTTACATAGGAGTTCCAGGTCAGATAAGGACACACAGTGAGACCCTATCTCAACTAAAACTTAAAGATTTTATCTGAGGCTGGAGAAATGGTCCAGCAATGAAGAGTTCTTACTGTTCTTCCAGAGGACCTAAGTTCAGTTCCTAGTACTCAGACCTGCATAGATATGGTGTGATAAACTCTCATGCCATACAAGAGAGAGAGAGAGAGAGAGAGAGAGAGAGAGAGAGAGAGAGAGAGAGAGAGAGAGATAATCACATGAACAACACAAAACTTAAAAAGGTGAAAGTCCTGCTTCTGGGGAGGAAACACTAGCTTGAAGGCAGAACTTATTGTCAACAAGTGTCTGTGTCTTCCCATCCTAAAGCACAGAGCCTTGTGCAAACAAACCAGATATAAATGCAACTACTAGATCAAATGGGCATCACGGTCAGCACCCGCTGCACTCTGCCAGGCACTTCATTCTCCAGCACCCCCACAACACCACCCAGACACTGATGTGATGTTACGCCTAAGAAAAATGTGGTCAGAAGTTGAAAAAACTTGTGTGATCCCAAGGTCACACAACTAGTTAAGGAAGAGGCCTCTTCGTCCCAAGGGCTTCATCTTAAGAGCAGAAACTCCTGACAAGAGAGGAGTAGAGCCTGAACCCTCTGGTCCACTGACACCCAGTCTTCCAGAGAGCTCTCACGACAGGAGATCCCAGGCTAGCAAGTCCTAGTTCTTGGGGGTTAACATGATCAGAGAAAATGGTTAGGAGGCAGCTTCTGGCTCTCCTGAAGTCAAGCCCTTTGCCACAGGGACCACTCTCCACCATGAATAATTCTCTTCTCTCTTTCTGCTCCGTTCCACAAATCCACTCCTGTCTACTGCAGTCATGTTTCTCCTGTACTGTTTGAAATCCCAGCACTGGACCTGGCGTTTCGGGTGCTCAATAAATGTTCAGTAAGTCCTGAAGGGTTCAAGGCATTGCTCAGAGATGATAAACGGGTCAATGAAACCTTTCTTTCGTCAAGTGTTCTAAGCAGCAGCAAACCATGCTGTGTACGGGTGCGGAAACTTACCACTCCACTCCCAACGCGTTTCCCGCGCCACAGCCTCACAAGCCGCCAGCCTTCCAGCCGCAGCCCATTCCCCCGGGTGGAGTGGCGCTCGGGTTTCTATCGGGATCAGTCGGGATGGCCTCCACTGCCTCAGCTTCTCTCATTGAACCCCGCGGGCTGTGACCCACACTGACCTGGCGCCTTCGCCCAGTTCCCCCTGCGTGTTGTAGTTCACGGTCATGACCTTCACCGAGTCCTTGAATACCACTTCCCCGCGACTCAGGTACTGCAGCGTACGGCGGATAGGGAAGCGACCCTTCATCGGCATGGTGAAGACAGGAACTCCTCAAGCCGCGGTCAAGCGGGGCTCCGGGACTCTCGAGAGGCACCTCCCGACGGGCAGCGCGGCCGCGGGGCAACCTGGGACTCGTAGTTTTGGCCCGGGCTCGCAGCCACCGACGCTTTGTGAGTCAATCGGTCGTTTTGCCCTCACAGAAACCAAGTGTCTTCTCCCAAGATCTCCAGTTCTGAAATGAAGAGCTCGACGGAGAAGTCGCTATTGATTCAAAGGAAAAACTGATTTGCAAAGGAGGAAAGAGTGGCTTGCTCTAGCGCGTCAGTGTCTGCTCTAAAGGACTCTGCTTAGAGGAGGAGTCTTTCTCTTTGGCTTGTGAAGAGTGGTTGTGACAGATATGGCAAGTAAACAACCAACATGTCATCTGCACTGTAATTTTTTTTTTTTTTTTTTTTTTTTGGATTTTACTTTAGTGTTTTGCCTGTGTGTTATGTCTGCACCGCATACACGCAGTGCCCGCAGAGGCTAGAAGAGGGCGCAGGATCCCCTGAAATTGACCCTACAGAGTTTCGAACTGCCATGTGGGAGCTAGGGAAAACTGAATGCCCAGACCTCTACAAGAGTAGCAAGTGCACCTAACTGCTGAGCCATCTTTCCAGTCTCACATACTGTAATTTTAAATCACTGTTTATGGGTGAAATTAATTTTTTCTACAGGTTTCCCAAGATTTTCCCTTTGTACTTATGACTTATGTAGTTTGAGATATGCAGGGTAATCTTAGTATTTGTCCTGCTTTGTGTTCTCTGAGCTTTTTGATTTCTAATGTATCATTCATTTTTTTGTTGAGACAGAATCTCATGTAGCCAAGGCTGACTTGTACTAATAGTCCTGTCTCTGCAGACTCCAAAGTGCTGGGACTATAGGTATGTGTTTTACATGTTTTAAAACTCTGCTCCCCAACCCTGCTTTAAACTTTGCTTTTTACACTTCAGTAGAAAATTTTCAACTGACTTCCCCAACTTCAGAGATGAACTGTCTACTGATAAGTCCATTAGAGCGTATTTCATTTGTTAATCTTTTACTTCTAGTATTTTCTTTTAATACTTAAGTGTTCTTTCCTCTGGTCACATAACCCTCTGGTCACATAATTCTAGGCATGTCCTGTACACACACATGAAGGCTTGGGGAAGAGTGTCCTGCTGTATTTCTGTTCTCTTAGCAAGCTCTAGCAATTCGGATTGTAACCCACACTTCTGGGGTTTCAGGCACAGATGACCTCACGTAGATTGTTACATGGATGCTAGGATCCAGATTCAGGCCCTCATGTTTGTGCAGCACACACTCGTACTCACCGAGCCACTTTATTAATGAGTACACTGTAGCTGTCTACAGACACACCAGAAGAGGGCATCGGATCCCATTACAGATGGTTGTGAGCCACCATGTGGTTGCTGGGAATTGAACTCAGGACCTCTGGAAGAGCAGTCAGTGCTCTAAAGCACTGAGCCATCTCTCCAGCCCCTATGTGTGAGTGTTTTGCCTGCATATATGTAGATACATCACTAATAAGCTTCAGTCACAACTACATCTGTCTAAAAGGAGGAAAAGGATAAGCTTCTAGAGCATACCCCAAGAGTGCAGCAGGCAGTTGCAGGATATTTAATCACACTGTAAACCCCAAGATTGTGTTATTTACTGGAAAAGCCTTTTTTGGTTGTGGTATGGCTCAGCCTCAGCACACACCTTTAATCCAAGAGTGTTCTGCTTCAAATACTGTAAACAGGATTAAATAAAGTCAACCACAGATCAAGAGGAGCAGCAGCCAGTTCACAGGAAGTTAACACAGTATTAAGAGAAAATCATAGACAGTAAAAGAAAGTCAAGAGGACAGATAGAAGGAGGCACAGAAGATAGAAGGGAGGGAGATTCAGTTTAAGGAGGTTTTTGAGACTATGTGAAAATAAAGGCATTCCTTCTGGGAGATTGGCTGAGGCAGAAGTTCAGCTGTGTGCTTTCTCTGCCTCTGAGCCAGCAGGCTTTCACCCTAGCATCTAGCTCAAGTTTTCATCGGTAATTGAATGAAATTTTGTTTTTTAAAAAAGCACACATAAAAGACTCAAAGTACTACCTGCCATCCAACTGTTCATACATGTTGTTTGCTTATATTAGTCTCTGTAAAGCATAACCTACAGTTAAATTTACTGTCTGGTAATTCTGACATGAGTCTAGTTGTGTTGCTTGCTTAACTTTTAGGATCCTTCTAACCATTTTGAGTCATTGGCTATGTGGGGAGTAGAAACTAAGGTGCCAAAGTCTCTAGTGTGAGGACTGTTTGCTGTAGCTTGGAGTTTCTGGTTCCTCCTCAGCAGTCTCTTTGCAGCTGTGATCCTCTTACTATCTATCCTGGATCCCTAGGGGAATATAAGGTAAAGAGGGACATGTTCTATGATCTTAGGCTGTCTCAAGCCATGACCTGCATGTGTTTCTTATTTCGCTACTTCTCTCTCAGACAAAGGCAGACAAAGGTGGCAACAGGGAACTGGGTGGGGGTAATATGTTTGCTCAAATAAGTAAGTTTGGTGAAGTCTCCATTTGCAGAAGACTTTGCTAGGATATTCTGGTTAAAGAATTCTTCTGCCACAGCTATAGGAGGAGCCTTCTCATTGCTCACCATTAGAACCAATGAGGAACAGCCTTTGCAGGAAGCAAGCCCTCACTGTCTAACAGACACTCAGCCTCCAGGACTTGTCAAGGCTATCTGCCAGGCTTGGTCATACAAACATATGATCCCAGAAACTTTGGAGACTAAAGCAGAAGGATCACAAGTTCAAGGCCTGCTTGGGCTACAAACTAAATTCAAACTCAACCCTGTCTGAAGAATAAAAAGCTAGGAATATAACTCAGTAGTAGAGCATATGCCTAGTATGTACAAGGTCCTATCATCAATCACAGCCCAATTACAAAAACCAAAGTTACTACTGGTATTTCTACTAGTCATGGGTTCTGCTGCAGCCATCAGATTAGCTTACTCTGAACTCACCACTGCAGGTGCTGGGAGGAAACTGAGCCCTACAAATCAGTTTCCTAATGACACCAAGAAAGGTTATTGGTTTTTATTCAAGCTAGCTGCTGCTTGTAAGGAGACTGACAACTTCCAAAAGATGTCACAACTAAAATAATTTAAGTGCTAAACTAAAATTCTGAAGTGATTTAAATTCTGCTAGGCTTCTGAGGAGGCTGCAGGTCTTGAAGTCTAGTCACAGAAGATGATATTGCATCTATAGGAGAAACCCAGTATCCCACACAAACAACTTGGGGTCCCAAATCAGCAGGGTCCCCAGAAGTACAACTCTGGTCAAGTTGAGTGTTACCACTTCCTCTGCTTGTTAGGAAGATTTAATGAGATGACCCCCATCATACTGAACTCTGACCCACAATAAGCACTGGATACGAGCCCTCTCCTCAGGCTACAGGTCTAGATGAAGTCATTGTAGAAACCCATTTAGTTGCACCCAACTTCTTTCCAGATTGTTCATCTGCTGTTTCTTTGGTCTACATAGTAGCTGAGCCCTTCCCTCTTCTTCATTCCTGAGCCAACCAAAAACCCACCTAGATACTGATGGGAAAATGAGTGTCCAACCTATCCTTTGTTAAACAACACATCACAGGCCTGTTGGCAGAGCTGTGGTAAAGTGTGAAATGTACCAGTGCCTGGTACAAATGCAAGTCCCAGGTCCCCTCACCCCTCTGAGCTTCAGTTTCTGGTGGGAAGTGGGGATAGGACTTTAAACAGTCCTTAGTGTGTTAGAAGGGGACATAGACAAGGCTTCTAAGAGAAATGCCAGCTTCACATGCCTGCTAGGAACCCTCAGTTTCTATGGAAACGGAGATGACAGGACTGCACAGGATCCAGGCTGTGTGCTATAAAACAGTTCCTTCAATGCTTGCTTTGCAGCACAAGGACTGGCCCTCAAAACCCAGAAAAAAGTGGTGAGCATGACAATAAACAGTTGTAATCCCAGGGCTAGGGAGGGGAGGACTAGAGGACCCCTGGGACTTGATGACCAACCAGTCTAGCCTAATTGGAAAGCTTCAGGATGAGAAACCCTGCCTAAAAGAAGCTTTCCTAAGACTAATACCCAAGGTTGTCTCTGGCCTCCATGTGCACATGCAAATATTCACACACACACAAACACGCACACATACATGCACGCATTAAGAAAAGGCAGTGAAGAGACATTTTAAGCACACACAAGCCCAGTCATTAACGTGTTATATTTTTTTAATAAAAGCCTCACACAAATGATTATTTTTTTTATAAAAGCCTCAGATACAAGGCCCCAGTGTAGTGCATGCGCGTCAGTGACCATCTTGCTGACAGTTATCATGATTACCAGCACACCGTGCTCCTTTAGTCTGACCTTGTACAGAGGCCAATTACACAATTTGAACCGCATGGCATAGCTATGCAACATGGCTCATGACTTAGAAAGATGTTTTAACATCTGACTACAAAGACATGATGTGTGGTTAAGTGCAGTGAGTAAGGCTCCAGTTCTTTAGTGTGTTAGAAGGGAACAAAGCAAGAAGCCCTTCCACTATGAACAGGATCTACACCTAAGGGATCTGCCAAAACCTATCAAGGGCGTGCTGCTTCACTGATGAGGTGGAGCTTGGGACCTTGGGAATCATGAAGTGTTCACCCAAGGTAAGAAGCTGGCACTGTGGTTCACTCACAGGCCAAACACCCTCTGCAAACCAACTTCGACCTGCGTGAATCCTGGGAAGTGATTCAGACAAGGGGTAGACAAGTCTCTCTTGTTATATCTCTGACTTTCAGAATATGATCCAAGAGGAATTCAATGAGAAAATCAGTAAAACCTCTGGGATCTGAGTTCACTTGGTTTACTAGTCAGTCAGTCAGGATTTTAAAAATAGCTGTTTAAAAGCATTAGTTTTCTCCATGCTCTCAGTCAGACTGCTACTTGGGGTGAGTTCCAGAAAGGAGTACATTTAAGGAGTTACAAGCTAATTAAGAAACCCAGTCTTATAAGAAAAGCAATGTCTACAGTTGTACCACCCTGAACACCTGATCTGTGTCAGGAAAAGTAATGGTGAAAACCAGTATTTAGCTTCATTCTTGTGTTAGGGCTGCTTCCTTTTCCATTAGACAAAAGCAGACCAAGCAGGGTGGGTATGCTGGGCATGCCTGGAGTCTGGGCTTTAGAAAGAGAGGAAGCCTGCCCAGGTAACATAAAATGCCAGGCTGTCTACCTTCCAGAACAGCCCATAACACCAACAGAGCTGGCAGATGACTGGTAATCCACTAGCAGGCCAGTAAACATCTGTCAATAGAACCCAAAGGGTTCTTACCCTCCCTCTCCAACCCTTCCCACAGTCCCATACAGGGCTTTTATCCAGCCAAAGCCCCAACATGTACTAATGAACTGGGATTCAAGCTGCCAAAATAGAGATCTTTTCACCCAGATAACATTCTTACCACCAAGACGGATCTTCACCAGAATGTGACAAAAGAATTTCAGCTTACACAGCAGTAACCAACAAAAAGCATGGCCCAGAGTTAGCTGAAGGGAAAGTGACTAGTGGACAGTTATTCTCCATTAACTAAAGAGTATCACTGAAGAAATTACCCAGAGCTGAGCACACCAAGGATCTTACAAGCTCATCTGTCAATCGATCTGTTCCTGTAAACCAAAGTACTAAGCCACATTAACTTCCCTTTCTGTCTTCTATCAAGAGTTCAAGTACTTCAGGGCTGTGGAATGATCTCAGGCTGTGCCTCAAATATTTCTGTTTCTCAGTACTCGGAGTAGTAAAATAACATCTTACCAGTTTCCCAGGTCAGGATAAGCCACAAAAAAGAAGGCTGACTAGAGTGCCTTGAAGTTACTAGAATTTATCTCCTGACTCAGAAGTGTTCCATCACCTGCTAATACTCCACAGAAGCTTCCCAGTCACAATTCCCAAATCAACAGGCCCTTGAATGTGACCTATAGAGTGGTTGGAAGGTTTCCAGGGGATCAGACAACTGCATAAGTAGAAACTTCTCCCAAACCATAACATCCACAAAAAACTTGATCACTATTATCTTATAATCAAGCTCATGCTGACACCACCACCCCACCACCCTCACACTTGGGAACTTTACTTCCTTTAACCGGGAGGGGACAACATTGGCAACATTCCTGCCATCCATGAAAAGAGGCACTGGTCCCCACTGGGTCTAGACTTTTCCCTTCACAGCAGTATCTCCCTAAGTGTCCAGGAGACAGTCCAAGCAGAGACGTGGTGAGAGGGAGCAGCCAAGTCAGGACAGACTTCTGCTTAGGCCCTGCCTCTCTTGGCAACAGGAAGGGGACTGTCAAGGGCTACCCAATAATACTGCACAATGACCAACAACAGTCAGCAGAAAATGGACTAAGAGGGCCCAGGAGTCATTTCTGCCTTGGCCCAACAGCTGTATCTTGATAAATAAAATGGTAAAGTACCCTGAAAAGGGAACACTTCATTAAAAAAATAATACAGAAAAACCAGCACATGAATGCCGATTTTTTTTTCCTGTTCTTGTTCAACTATAGTGGAAATGCCTCAAAGTGCACAGCAAGAGACTACTGTTTCCACCCCCACCTGTGTGCGTTCAGATGCATGCCCATCTCCTCCTGCCACTTGATAGCCTGCTGCCCAAAACTCTGCCCAGTTCCTGCCCACTGCTGTCAGTTAGGGGTCCCCTTCTGCTTAGCCAGGGTGCACTTCAGCTCCCGGAGGTTCTCCATCAGAACCTCAACCTCATCCATTCGACCACACTGCTTGGCATCAAAGATATAAGCCTTGATGTTCTCAATTTGCTGCAGAAGCAGCTCCTCCTCAATGTGTTCCTCAGCCTCCATGCCGCTATCACTGTCTACCTCAAAGGGGTTGGTGCAGGGGCACTCTTCAAAAGGGTTTCCAGGGGCGGCTGGACTGGCAGGCCTGGGATGGTCATCCTCCTCAAAAGGGTTGGGTGCTGGACTGTCTGGGTCAGTGAAGGGATTCCCTGCTCCCAACTCTGCCACCTCCTCTTCCTCAGCATCTTCCTCAAAAGGATTGTATTCTTTGGTGACAGCAGCTGGAGGTGCCTCTACAGCAGCAGGGCTGACAGCATCCTCTGTAGGGCTGGAGAGGTCTTCATCAAACGGGTTGAGAGAGGTCTTATTACTTTGCTGTGATATGATGCTCTGAGGGAGGAATTCCTGGCCAAGGGCTGGGGGCCCAGACCACAAGTGGATGGGTGCTAGAGCTGAGCCAGGTGAAAGGGTATCAGGAGCTGTGCTGCTCTGAACTGGGGAGGAGTCCTGATTCAAGGAGTAGGCAAGATCAGTGTGAGGCCCACGGCTGGGCTCCAACTGGAAGGGTATAACTTCTCGGAGTTCTAGAACACGAGTCCGTGTTTGCAGAGAGGCTGCCAGGAACTGCTCTTGTTCCCGCTCCAGCTCCCGCTTGCGCAGCATCTGTAGCTGCTCCCGCTGCAGCTCCTCCTCCTCGGCCTGTCTGCGGGACAGCTCAATGGCCTTCTCAGTCTGCTGCTGGTCATATTCATCCTGCAGCTGCCGCAGGTTCTCTTGAAGTGTGCGCACCTCATCTGTGCGGCCTGCAGCCTTGGCCTGCCTGATGAACGACGTAATGTTATAGATCTGCTGGAGGAGAGGGTCAGGGTCTTCTTCACTCTGTCCCTGACCTTCTGACAGTGGGAGCCAGCCTTCAGCCTTTCGCAAGGGAGCAGGGATGCCTCGAACAGACCTCACGTCTCCATTGGCTGTATGAGATGCCAAACCACTCTGCCTTTCCTCAAGCTTCCGCCGGGACTCCAGAGCAGCCTGCAGAGACATCACATATCACCAGGGTCACCATGGTCACCAGGCCAGCAGCCCTCCCTGTTTGCTACCCTCTGTGGTCTCAGCAACACTAAGACAATTCAACTGCTGAAACAAGGACAGGCTTATATTTCAAAAATAAAACAATATAAGTTGAAAAGATTCCTTCCCTCTTAGTTTCATCGGCTGTACACTTTTCACCCATATCTCCATCAAGGTTGGAATTTCAGATAATACTAAAACATACACATTGTTTCCTATTTTCATTTTGGGTTTTGTAGTGCTAGGGATAGAACCCAGGGCCTCAGGCATGCTAAGCAAGTATTCTATTCCTGAAGTTTAAAACAGCACCCTCATTTTCTTGTAAAAAATACAGCCTCACTATGTAGCACAAGCTGGTCTGGAACTTAAAATCTTGTCTCGGCTTCTTGAGAGCTGGGATACAGGCAAGTACTGCTGCATCTCCATTGTCTGTTTAACAGTACCCATTCCAAGGTCTTCTCCCGAACTTTCCTGCAAGCCTAACAGAGGGAAACTGCCAGTCCCTGTGGTGGTCTAGATAGGAGAACATCAGCATAAACACTAAATAAAACTAATAAAGGACTCAGTAAGAAAACAACTCTTTTTCTAAGGCCGTAACAGAAGCCAGCTTGAGATGGAGAGACTGAGCAGCCAAGGAGTAGGGTATGAGAGCAGGGAAGCACAAGCCACTAGGTGCCTGAGCCCCACGCACCTGTCTCTCCACCGCCCTCTTCTGCTCCAGGTCCTGCTTCCTTTTCTTTTTCAGTTCTTCAAACTGTTCTTTGGTTGGCAGTGACATCAAACCCAGTAACTTTTCCTGTAGGAGAGTAATAGACAGTTTAGACTTAAGTGTTTTGGAGAAGAGGGGGAGAAAACCTTAAGCCTTATACACTTAGGGCAAGCCACTCCAACCATTGACAGGAAAGACATACATGCTAATTGCCAGTCATCTTTCAGATGGACCTGCCTTTTCCTTATGAGATGGTTGCATCAGATCAGATGTCCCCCAGACCTGTGCCAGCTTCTTTCTGAAGCTGTGCCCTGACCCCATCCACCCATATCTGCCTAGGCCCCAGCAGTCCTTGGTGCCCCTTTTCTTTAATTACCACCCTTAGATCTCTCCCTACGTCATACTCTCTAACATATCACATTTTAGTAATTTGTTGCTATGCATTCACATTCTACCAATGGAAATATCCTCTCCCGGAGAGAAGATGGAGGCCTAAAAGTCATAAAACTTCAAGAAATTGACAGGACTCAAAAAACTAATGAAAATTCTAAGATTCCTGGCCTTCCTAAGATATGAGCAAGCAACAACTGCCAGGGGAGAGGAGTCCCCTTATAGCTACTTGCAACCAAGTTATCCAGGGACTCTAACAATGCAGAAGACATCAGAGGTAGAGAAATGCAACTCAGATCTGGTCACCTACATTTAGTCTGCTGCTCTTGAACCATTAGCCAATGGCCCAGAAACAGTCCCTGGTGAGAAAATATCACTTATCACTAATAGTAAAATTAGAATCCATCAAATCCCCAACTAAAATGAAATAGTTCAACAAAGGATATCAGACAGAGCCACAGTGGCATTCCATGGCCAAAATAAGCATAGCAGACTCAGTGATTAAAACAAGACACAGAGTTGCAGGAATATTTTGATCTTCCTGGTCCACTTGAGTGGATTTAGAATTGAAACACACCTCTGGGTGTGTCCAAAGGGTCTTTCCAGAAAACTTTGAGGTGGGAAGACCCACTCTGGTGTTCGTGGGTCCAAGCTAGGCTCCTGGACTGAATAAAAAGGAGAAAGCAAGCTGAGTACCAGCCTTCACCTCTCTCTGCTTCTTAACTCCAGATATAACATAACCAGTTGCCTCAAGCTCCTGCCACCATGACCCCATCAAGGCAGACTTCAAAGGGACTCAAATAAAGTTTTCCTTAAGTTTATCAAGTATTTTAACACAGCAACTAGAAAACTAATACAATGAACTAATTATAAATATTGCATATAAAAATTAAGAAAGAAAATACATCAGAATGAAGAACAATTGTATTAGAGACAGAAGATTAAAAGCTATTTTAATAAGCACGAGACCTGTGTGGCTGTAGAGATGGCTCAGGAGTGACAAGGACCTGAATTCCATTCCCAGCTCCCACATTAGGTGGCCCACGTCGTCTGTGACTCCAGACCCAGGGGATCCAATGCCCTCTGTGGATTCTGGAGCACTTGTACTCACATGTGCTTCAATCCACATACAGACACACATACAAACAATCTAAAGGAAAATCTAAAACCAAAAAACACTAGACCTCCTCCCCCCGCCCCTGACACACATACACAAAGGCATGAGGCAAGGGGAGACTAGCTGGGAAGTTGGAGTCAGCAGGAAAGGAAGGGGATGAGAGTGGGTAATGGGGGTAAATATGGCCACAAGAACTGTATGCATGTATGAACTTGTCAAAAAATTTTAAAATATCTTTACTTTTACCCAGGTTTTGGCTTTTCCTCCAAATGTGGAATTCATAATTTTAAGAAATAAAAAGTGTGTCAACAGAAAACAAGCAAGCTATACACTTATGTCACCCCAGCATGGCTTTACCTGCACAAATAGTGTAGCTGAGTATCTGATCATTCTCTGTAGCCGCAAAGTGTTTGGATGTGGTGAAGGGTCTTGGTTCAAACCCAAGGTTAAGATCTTCTTACTAAATTGGAACAAAGGCATCAGTGTAATGGGTGCCACCAGCCTCAGAAACAGTGAAGTCTCTGGAGCTGACAGGCTTTCATATAATGAGGATGTGGAACAACATAGAAAAAACTGAAGTATCCCTCACAGCAAGGCCCATTCCTTTCCCTCTGGCTACTCTAACACAGCACAGAAATATGGTCACAGAAGAGGCCATGTGGGAAAGGCTAGTATCCCAGGTGAGCAGAGGGTGTGGCAGCCAAAACTCCATACTTTCATGCTTTGCTGTCACTGTCTTTAAATGTTCAAGAGTTCAGTCATGCAAAGAATCTGGGTTTCTGTCATAGATCCTCTTCTATGAAATGGAAGTGCTGATCCTGACCTGTCCCGTGAGGACAGGCACATGGGTGAGTCAGCGTACAGCAGCCAGCTCCTACTTCTTTATTATTAACGATCACCAGAAATCCTTTTCTTTGGTCCCTTTGTGTGCTAGAGACAGAACCCAGACCTTTGTACATGCTAGGAAAGTATTCTATCTTTGACCTACACCCTACTCCTAAGCACTCCAAATCTTTAACCAGAAGCTACACAGTAAATAACAAAGCAGGCCCCTTCCCTCCCCCAGTGTTCTTACTTTCACCAATGAACAGATAATCTCAAATCCCCATCACAGTGTCATCAAAACATCACCTCTTTCCCATTAGCCAGCAAAAGAAACGTGACGTAGCAAACTTTACCTTAAAGCGTCTATTAGCTCGTACACTTTCTGTACTTCCACTCGAAGGTCATTGGCATGTTCCAGACTGTAGGTTGTCTCCCCAGCACTATGGAGAAACCATAAATGTTTGACCTAAGTTTCATGGTGCTAACTTGGGAGCACAGTGTTAAAGGTCTCAGAGATAGGTGGTTAATGCTAAGGCATTTTAGACTCATGGAGACAATGCAGTAATCAAGCAGAAGTCATTTTATTGTGCAGACACTTCAGGAACAGGCCACTGCCCAGGTCTCTAAGAACCACTTGGTTTTGTAAAGATTTATTTTATGACTTTTAGGTATGTATATGGGTGTGGGTACATATGCCTTTGGAAGCACAAAGTGTCAGATCTCCTAGAGCTAGAGTTACAGGAGTTTGTGAGGTTAAGAGGCCCCTGGCATAGGTGATGGGACCTAACTCAGGAAGAAGCAGCACATGGTCTTCACTACTGAGCCATATCTTCAGCCCAAACACCAGCTCTTTGGCTTACCAACAGAACAAATGCAGCTGAGTTCACTCCGCCTCACTTTTCCTGAGCCATCTCTCATGGTATCTCATAGGATGTATAAAGTGACTTAGTAAATGAACCAATGAAACTATACAAGGCCTGGAAGTTGCTTGGCTTTTTACTCTCAGCTACTCCTTAGGAAGAGTATGCAGTGGACAGGAATCCAGAGCTACATCATCTACCCAACACTCTACCTCACACACAACTGCCCCACACACGCACATACCTGTCCCACACTCTGCATCACATATATACACCTGCCTCACACTCTGCCTCAAATACACACAACTGCCACACACACACACACAACTGCCCCACACTCTGCCTCACATATACAACTGCCCTACACTCTGACACACACACACACACAATTGCCCCACATTCTGCCTCACATACACACCACTGCCCTATATTCTGCCTCACACACACACAACTGCTCCATACAGGAGAAAACCAGGACTCCAACTTCAGCAGAATGGAATTAACTGCCCAGGGTGGAGAAGGGATATCAGAAAAGATCAGACACAGCTTACCAGAGGACAACATCATCACCTTATGGCATTATAATTATTCATTTGCAAGCTTGTCACCCAAGCTTGCCAGACTGCTAAATCTCAAATGCCATAATTATGGCTTTTCTTTTCCATATTCTTGGGGATGAACTTTTGGACCATAAGAACAGCTCTAACCAGCTGTAATCAGTCTCATCATCAACTAGCTACGCAACTCTTTATGGGAGGCAACTGCAGTTTAAGTAAGCATTACCGAATTTACTGTGTATAAAACAACTCTGGCTTTAAAAAAAAAAAAAAAGGAGTGTTCTATCATTAGAGAATTCAATACAGTGGCTACATCATTTTTCAACCACAAAATATACAAAAAACAGGAGACTAGAAGTAAGAAAGCAGGCTTTGTTAGGCAGGTAGTGGTGGAGCACACCTTTAATCCCAGAACTTAGGAGACAGAGGAAAGTTGAATTCTGAGTTCAAGACCTGCCTGTTCTACAGAGCAAGTTCCAAGTCAGCCAGAGCTACACAGAAAAACCCTGTCTTGAAGAAATGAAGAAAGAAAAAAGAGGTGGGGGTGGGGCAAGGAAGCTTTTGTCTGGTTTGGATTTTGTTTTTCTTTTTAAATGGAACTGTGCTATACTGAACTCCTCAGCTCCAAGGATCCTGCCTCGGCCCCTTAAGTAGCTAGGATGAAGGCTCTGTCCTAATGTCTCACAGAAAATCAAAACAGTTATCTGAGGCCTGGAATCATTTTCACAGTCTCCACCACATCAATTTTACCCCTCAGAGCACTGTCATGCTGGAGTTAGCCTGTTCAATTCTTGCTCCCTTGATGATGGTCCACAAGACAGGCATCATCTCTGTCTGCTGCCTCAGTCACAGAACAGAAGGAGAATGGAATGGTGTATGGCACAGAACTAATGCTCACAGAGCATCTGCTCAGTGAATAAATAAAGTGATGAGAAACCCAGGAAACCTAGTCTCTGGAGGACCACTGGATGTTAACCACTTGGAAATATGCTCAGGATGGGCTATCCCCACCAGCCAGGGAATGTGGAGAGGTGACACTAACCATGGATACATGAGCCTGCAACATCATACATACATGCACCACACATACTCAGTAATATATAAGAAATACTTGGTGGCCACACAAGTGTTAGCCAGGGGGTGGAGAAACAGAATTATAAAATTCCAGAGGGAAGAAATACCCACACAGGAACATAATTTTGCAGTCTCTCAAAAAATTAAATGCAGAGTTACCCTAAAACCTAGAATAAGTTATACTCCTACACACACACACACATGAACATGTGTATGTATACATACACAATTATGAAAGGTGTACTATTCCTGGACAGGCATGTTGACATATGTCTGTAGTCCTAGTACTTGGAGGTGAAGACAGGAAGATTAGAAATCCAAAGCCAGTTTTAACTACAGGGTGAGTTCAAGACCAGCCTGAACTACATAAGAAGATACCTCAAAAACAGAAAGAAAAATTAAAAAGTGTGTTATCCACAATAGTTGAAAGTATGGGGGACCCAAATAAACATAAATTGACAAATGAATAAACAAAGTTCATAATTAAATCTATAACATCTTAATGCAAGGACAATAACGTAGTACATGCTACAACATGGGTGAATGTTGAAAACATTGATGTACATAGAAGCATCCGGACACAAAAGATAATATATCAAGTGTCACATACTGACAAATCCAGACAAATCTGTGATTCCTAGGAAGATGGCAAATTGCTTACAGGTCTGAGATTACTTGCCAGAGTGATAAAAATGTTTGAAATTAAGATGGTGGTAACAACTGAACAACCTTGTGATGACACTATCATGAACATCACTGAACTGTTCAATAAAAAGGATATGAACCACATCTTAATTTTAGAAAACAAACTCAAGACAAGCTACATCTGTCCAGTGGCTCTGTGTGCCCACCTGTGTTCAAAGGAAATTCCTCTTGTAATCCTGACATTACAGTACATTGTTAGGAGGCACTGTAGCAAGCTGAGCAGAAGATAGGCTGCCCTTCCTTGTCTGTTTCCAAGTACTTCACTGAGCAGTGGCACTTCTGGTCTGAGGCCCTTGCCAAATCTACTAAATCAGAATGGACCTACTACCTGAACATGGTCAAAACATCATGTGACAGTAACATGTGTCCACTGATATACAAACGTGAAGTCAGAGTGAGGTCTATTTTCTTGGCAGAGCCATGTGCTAAGCATGGACAAGGTTCCATTTCATTCTTAACACCAAAGAGGGGAAAGGAGGTAAAAAGATACCAATCTCCATGGTCAGCTAGTGAAGAACTGGCTTTACCAGCCAGATCGGATTCACCACTGAGTCAGAAAAAACAGAGAGGAGTGGCTTACTTTAAGGATGCTGCCATCCTGATGTATTCAGGAGCTTTCTGGTCAACTTTCTCCATGCAAAGCCGAAGTTTCTAAGAACAAAAGAGAAGAGATGAGTGCTGCACTGGAGACAGAAACTGTGACCTCGCAGCCACCCTACATCAGAGACATATAGAAAAGGCTACTTTTAAAATACTGGGATTTTTTTGTTTTGTTTTGCTTTTTACTACCTTATTGTTAGTTCCCTTACGGATAGACCTATTTTCCAATCAGAAAATCTTTCAGGAAGAAAAGAACACAGGGTGAACCTTTTGACCAGATGTTTTTGAGAGGCAGTCTTTCAGAGTACAGTGTGTCTAGACAGGGAAGAGGAATCAGCCGCTGTGCTCTCTGCTAGGTGACGCCAGCCAATAGTACCAGCACATGGAACTGTCAGGGCTCTCCTCAAAAAAGTATGTAAGTATACATAATGGCTAGTTACAAAAAAGAGATACCAGGTCACAAACTCCACGCAAGATAGAGGATAGGTACAGCTGCACTCAGAACTGGTTTGATACCTCCTCTGGCAGTGATAATATTTATATGGTAGAACAGAAGCAGCCACCATGACCTGCAGAGATGTTTGGTGGCTGTTCAGTGCTCACAGAGAAAACACATTCCTCCTTGTTTAAGAGTTTTGCTCAAGTAGCTTTCTCTGCCCAGGCTGTTCTGCCATTCCCAGTATCCTTCACTTCTCCATTTGTCTTCCAGACTAGTTCTCCTTAGCCCACAGTGACATATCACCTGGTCATTAGGAGGCTGACCTAGCCTCATTCCCAGAGGTATTTTTCTTTTTTTCCCATTTTGCTTATTTATTTTCATTTGTTTTAAATAGGGTCTTACTATGTAGCCCTGGCTAGCCTGGAAGTTGGTATGTAAACCAGGCTGGCATCAAACTCAGAGATCTACCTTCCTCTGCCTCCTAAGTGCTGAGATTACAGGGGTATAACACCATGTCCAACACAGATGTTCTCTGCATACTCTATTTTTTCTTGCATGCCAACTAATCTTAAAAATGTACTAGAAATGGAACCTACAGCAAGAGATCTACCACAGAGCCACATCCTCTTCTCTTATTCTCAGTGTGCCTCCACTTAAGTGCTCTGGGATCACTGGAGGCAATGAAGACTAAGGCATTTGAGACTCAGAAGAGACTCTCAGCTGATAGGCAAAAGCATATAAGCCCTGAAAATACATACAAGCTCAAACTGATAAAGACTGAAACTCCCAAGTGGGTTTCCTGGGACCCTTGCAACCCATGGTTTACTACACCTTCAGCTTCTGTTTTCTCCACAGAACCTGACCATGCACAGGACAACTGCCCTTCCCACTTGTCTTGGACCTCCTTCCTTTCAAGTAGGTAAAGGAAGGTAGGAAAATAAGTCTGTTACTACACACCCAGGATGACTCTATGACTCACTGAGGGCCCTAATTAGGAAATCATACCATGGCCCTCGGACAGGAAATGATTCAAGGGAACGACTTTCCAGAGCATTCTCTAGAATCTACCAGCAGGCAAACGGCCGAATCTGCCTGGCATGTGTCACCTCGTAGAGCTTCACAATGTCAGGCGTGTGCTCCTTCTCGTCCATCTGCTGCTCTCTCTTGAGCAGCTTGTCCTTGCAGTGTGTGCAGCAGCGGATACGGTCATCATCCTTCTCGTCCAGAACTGAGCTGACACTGCTCATGCTACTGATGCTGCCCCGGCGGGAGCCATGGACACTGTTAGGTGACTGGCTGGGGCTGGTGTGGGTGCTCAGGGAGTCCTTGCTGGCACTGGTGAGCTTATCTGCAAACCACAACAGACAGGTAGCAGTGACCCCTCAGCAGCCACTTATCCCACACCTGCGACTGTAGCACTCAGGCTACAGATGTGACTTAGGAAACAGGAAGAACAAGCTTCACCTCTGGACAAGAAGAACCTTCTCTGGCATCAGGGGTGAGACTCTGGTGGGAAAAGAAGTGATCAGGTCCAAACAGCATGTGGTAACCCGTCTTTAGGCTCAGAAGCCTGATCATAACCTGGCCATCCCATACCTATACCACACTCCTTTGCCCCATTTCTCCAAACAATCCACATTCTCCAGACACTTTCCTTCGCAGCCCTCCTATCAGTCCCTAACATCCAGCTCTCACCCTCCATTCTCTAGGATGCCTTCCCTGGCTCCCACAAGCAACATCTGCCCTTCCTATCGTCTCCCATTACCCATCTGAAGCACACTCCTTTTTCTCCTGTCCAACATCTATATGTACAGAGCTGCCCTGGAATCTGCAACTGTTGGGTAGAAACTGTCTTACACTCTTAGCCCTAACATGGCCATCAAGGCCACCTGACAGACTCTGCCCAGGTAATAAGCCCAAGAATAGAAAGGTGAACAGTGTCCTGAAAGGAGGTTGGTCTCAAAGACAAAGGAAAGTATCAAGGTAAAGTAAGCAGACACAAGAACTAGACAGAAAAAAGTGACTTTGCCCCCATATTGTCCACAGGCCTCATAGCTAGGTGTATACAAATAATAGAAGTCTTTGGTATTGCTAATCTGTACTAAGGATAGACCCCAGATTCTTGACCATGCTAGGCAGGTGCTCTTTCACTGAGCTGCACCCTAGCCTTCCATCAGCCATGTGTAAGCAGCTGAGTCACAAAGTACAGGAGTAGCTTGTCCTCCTGCACTTTACAGCTTTGTTCTTCCAGGTCTCACCCACGTCCTGGACACCTCTCATTGTAAGTCTATCTCCTAAAGCTACTCAGCTCTGCTCTACTAGTGCCAGGATTCCTTGATGTTCTTTACTCTGCCTAGAACACCATCCTTCCCCACCTCCTTTACAACCATTCTCTTTCAGGGTACTTCTCTGACATCACTTGCAGACCCTCTGCATCCATGCTTCCTTTCACTGGAGCCTCCATGGTGCTTAGCACTTTCCATGACACTAGTCTTTCTGTGTGACAGGGAGATTTTATAAGGAGAGGGACAGGCACTCTGCTTATTTTTCAAAACTTCTTCCAAAAAAACTCACCTGCTCTTCTAGGCAAAGGTGACAAACAGCTGTTCCACCTCTCCTTTATGAAGCAATTGTGTGTGACCCTCTATCTCCCCTGCTAGATCCTGAGTTCCTTGAGGAAACAGGCAATGCCTTACAGACAAGAAATGTTCAAATAACACTTGTAAGCCAATCTAACTTCAACCTGTTTTTGTATAGCTCTTACACTAAGTATGCTTTTTACTCTTTTTCACTTTTGAGTCAGGATTGTAATGGCCGGTTGCTACTTTGTAATGGCCTGTTCTGCTGCTCCGTCGTCTGCAGGTCAGGGTCTAGCAAGAGAGAGAGTGGGGGCGGAGGAAGGGCGAAAGATGCAAAAGATGGATACAAGACAGAGTCTGGTCCAGTCTCTTCACGTCTCTTCTTTATTCTCCTCTAGTCTCTTATATTCTCCTATATTCTCCTCTATAGAAAAGAAATCCTGGTTATTGATACCCTTTACCACGTGACTTGCCCTCAAGGACAAGGTCAACTGAAGGCACTACGTCATATGCCTTGTAGCCATGGATAACAGGTGCACCTTGCAGCTGGGGGCACTAAACAGTGTAACAAGATGTTTATCAGAGTGTGCTCAGCTATTGCAGGCTGTTGAAAACAAGTCTCTTGTCAGGGTATATGGCTCGAGATGGCTGTAGAGATGATAGCCACTTTTGGCTAAGAGTTGGCTCCCAACACAGGATCATCTCATTCTATAACCCAGGCTCAAACTTAATGGTAGTTCTTCAGCCTCAGCCTCCCGCATGCCGAGGTCATAGGCAGGAGCCACTAACCCTAGGTCGTTTTACATCTGCTTGTTTTGTTTTACTTTGAGACCAAGCTTCACTATGTAGCCCAGGCTAACATTAACCATCCTGGGGCCTTCTGATTCTGCCTTCTATGTGTGCACCCACCCAGATGGTTTTTAAAGAAGTTGCTCCTTTAAAAAAAAAAAAAAAAAAACTAAGAAGAATGAGAAGAGACCATGTGTGCCTTTCAAAGTCTAAAATAGTTACTATCTGATCCTTTATTTTAAAAAAAAAAAATCTCAGGGACAGATGGTGGTGGTACACACCTTTAATCCCAGCACTTGGGAGGCAAAGACAGGAGAATCTCTGAGTTTGAGGCCAGCCTAGTCTACAGATCAAGTTCCAGGACAGTCAGGGCAACACAGAGAAATCCTGTCTCAAAACACAAAAATAAAACCACACAAACAAACAAAAATCTTAGGGCTAGAGAGACAGATCATCTTGCTGCTCTTGCAGAGAACCCAGGTTCAGTTTTCAGAACCCATTTAGCAGCTTACAACCATCCGTAACTCTAATTCCTTTTCTGAAAAGAAGAAAAAGCTCACCCGCCTGTTTCAGGCCACTATATTCTTGGGCTCTAGCACAGTGTTGAGGCTACAGTGAGTTTAATGAACTCAACAAGTAGGTGAACAAAGATTCTGTGGGCCATTAACTAAACAAGTAGTCCCAAGGGCCTAGGCACACTCACTAGTCTCAAGAGATCAGGGCGCACACCCATAGCCGCATCACATACTTGCCAAGGGCAGGCCAATGAGCTCCATACACTTCTTACACATGATAGACCCACAGAGGCGGCAGTGGTGACGGCGGTTCCGGATGCTGAACTTATTCCCACAGTCTGGACAGAAAGGAACATCCTGGTCATTGACCCAAGGCACCACGGACTTCTCTATTGCTTTGGAAGAACAAACAAAAAAAAGCAGCTCAGCATTCTTAAGTTGTTTCCAGGGAAGAAGTCAAAAAGGAATGATCGTGAGCAAAGGTCTGGACTTACCTCTAATCTTTGAAGTCTCAGTATTTGTTCTGTCAAATGCAGTAAGCTAAGCAGGGAAACAACGCCAAATGGAGTTAATCAGTTGAGGGAACACTGTATTTTTTGCCACTCACACTCAGCAGAAATGTATATTCAAATTTCTTAAGGCTCACTGGTCAACCCCAACCCTAGTTATCAAAACAATTTTACTAGGGACATGTTAGTTTCATATCCAGGACTCTCTTGTCATTTACCAGTTTTACCAATAAACAGGTAGACAGGATGGGATATGGGAGCTACTGAAAGCAATGGTGAACTCCTGATTTTCCAGTTTTCCTAGAAAATAAGACTGGCCACATACTTCTGTCCACAAAGTCTCCTATAAAGAACGTCCCTAGTCTGGGACTTAGTTGGTGGCAGAGTGTTTGCTGGGACACCACAAAAGTGAAAAAGAGGACTACATCTACAAATGCCCCCACAATCCAGATACACAGCAAGTGTATCTAGGGTCAGAGTGCAAGCCAATCATGGTAGTGCTGCAAATACACTCTAGCACTACAGGATAGAAAGGCTACCCTAGATGCCCCACGACACACACTAGCCCTAGCCCCGACTCCATACTCAGAGCTGGACACCACTTTTGTGTCATTATCAATGACGTTACACACTGTGCCCACTGTGTGATTACCAGGGACAACTCTAGAAGCTTTACAACAGCAAGTGGAGGTGCTGGGCATAAAAGGGGAGCTGGGCACTTAGCAAGTCTATCAGTGTGAGCCATTTACTTCAGGAAGGCCAGCCAGGCCAGCTCTCCTCAATGTCCTCTGCAGTTCTCAGAATCAGATACTCATCACTTACATAACACACGCTACAAAAATTAGGATTTCGCTTTTTCTCCGACATCTTAGTGAGGCTGCAGTGGTCCACACTACTCTCTGAGTTTCGCCATGCCTCCCAAAGACGACAAGAAGAAGAAAGATGCCAGAAAGTCAGCCAAAAAAAGACAAAGACCCCGTAAATAAATCTGGTGGTAAAGCCAAAAAGAAGAAGAGGTCCAAAGGCAAAGTTCGGGACACGCTGAACAACCTCGTCCTGTTTGACAAAGCTACACACGACAAACTCTGCAAGGAAGTGCCCAACTACAAACTCATTACTCCAGCTGTGATCTCTGAGAGACTGAAGATTCAAGGTTCCTTGGCCAGGGCGGCCCTTCAGGAGCTACTTAGTAAAGGACTTATCAAGCTGGTTTCAAAGCACAGAGCCCAAGTAACTTACACCAGAAACACAAAGGGTGGAGATGCCCCGGCTGCTGGTGAAGACACAAGAGCAGGTTCAGTCAGCTGGACATTTGGGAAAATAAAATTTTATTGAATCAAAAAAAAATTTAGGATTTCTACAAAATATGTACTTACAAAATAAAACTACAAAATTTACCTTTTCCAACCTGATTATTAATTTATTGACTTCAACAACATAGTGGTCAATTCTTGCAGCACGATGTTTTTTGAAGTCAGAAAGATGGCTTCTCACAGCACCTAAAGGGGAGAGAAGATTAGTGACATGTTAACCATTATGATCGAGCCTCTCTAGATCCTCAGTGAATTGTAAAAGAAAAAAAAAATCAGGATTCTAGAACCTTACCAAAATTTTAATAACTAGAAAGGAGATGAAAGGAATTTCATTACAATGTTAACCTTGGCTCTTGGAGACCCAAAGTACAACAGGAGAGATCTCAAAGCATAGCAAATAAGCTCTTATTAGAGTAATTCTGCTACATACTACATCACTTTAGACAAGTTACTCGACTACTTTTATGACTTAACATAATGTAGCTTTTTATCAAAATAAAAACAGTCCCTTTTCAAAAGCAGGGGGTGGAGGCAGGGATGGGAGGTGGGGTGGCGGCTCACACCTTTACTTTAGTCCCAGGGAGTGGGAGGCAGAGGCAGGCAGATCTGAGTTTGACGGTAGCCTGATCTACATAATGAGTTCCAGGATAGCCAGGACTACACAGAGAAATCTAGAGAAATAAAAATACTACTAGTATACTACTACTATTACTAATTGTAACAATAATAACAAACCCTTCTCAAAATGGGGGTGGGGGACCAGTAAGTGGTAACGTATGCCCTTAGTACAGTTAAATGGATACTTTCCTCAGTTAGCATCTAGGACCTAGCAGAAACGTTCCCGATACAAAGGGAATCAGGTGGTTTTGGACCTCAGTGTATCTGAAACATATTATTACTTCACTCATTTTTTTGTATCGAGGAGACTCAAATCCTACTCAGCTGTCAAGTTAAGGAGTACAGTACATCTTTACTTATGGTTCCATGCTGTTCCAAGCTGTCCTCTCCTTGTCTGAAGCCTCTATGGACCATCTCCAAACTGTACTCTCACTCATCCACGTTTATCTTACACTTCCTAATCATACACTGGTAGCTAAATTTTAGTCTAGAAGTCTTAGGGGTAATTATAAATAATAACTTCTAAAATTTCCATTTGAGCATCCACAATTTGCATTTCTTTCCATTGCTGAATTGGGCAGGTTAATCAGAAAACCACTCTAGCAATTAGGACTGTGGCAATTAGAAAATAATCTATCACAAAGTATTAAAATTCACTTGTCTGAAATTTCTCCTTTATACTTCTAATCCGCTTTCATATGTGATTCATAATTGCGGATATATATCTGTAGTGGGAGTAGACCTCTAAATCCTGGCCAGAGTAACTCTATTTTGCAGTAAGCCATTGAGTGTCTGACTGCAGCAAAACAGGCCATCCTTCCTATGGCTAGACACTGCTTGCTGAGACCAGCAGAATCCCTAATCAGAGCAAGGACATGGTACACCATCAGTTTTGTCAGTGCCTTCCTTCAACTGAACCTACAGCCACCACTACTACTTCAACCCTAGACAGTGCTCTGAATCCAGCTTTGCATTAACTTTGCTGTAGACTGAAAGACCTATAAAACAAGAGCTTGGGGCAGGAAAGAGGGACCAGGAGTTTAGAGCATACAGTGCTCTTGCATGATCCACGTTCAGTTCCCAGCACCTATAATTCCAACTCTAGGTATTCTGACATCCTCTTCTGGACCCCATAGGCAACTGCAGACATGTGCGCATGCACGCACGCACGCACACACACACACACACAATTTAAAAAATAAATAATCTTTAAAAATTAAAAGTAAAACTGTATCTTAATGGGCAGGGGGTTGGGGCTTTTTGGTGATGCAACTTCAACTCACTCATGTTCCTGTAAATAACCCCCAATAAACTCATTTGTCTCACCAAACTGGATTGGTGGGAACCTTCTTTGTTCTCTGTCTGCACCCTCCTTATGTGACGTGAACAGATGTTTCTTTTACAGGTCCCCACAGGTCCCCAGAAAGTTATGTAACAATAGCTTTATCCATAAAGCCATTTTCTTCTACAGTGATAAAAATGTTTTTGCATACTCACAGAGCAGCCACTGACCACAGAGGGATACTGCACAGCTGAAGTGCGTGTAGATTTTGTTTGATTCATTAATGAAATTTCAATAGCTACATATGGCTAGTGGCTACTGAACTGGATAGCACAGTTCTAAGATTAAATACCACCTTCCCTAGTGGCATTAATAAAGATGCAATCAGTGACCCTGGTAAGTGTCCCTTCCTTTCTTAGGGCCTTAGTTTTCTCATGTATTTTTTTTTATTTTTATATGTGTTTTTATTAATTTTATTTGTGTATGTGTGCATGTGTGCATGTGTGTGTGTGTGTGTCTGTCTCTGCATGCCATGTGTGCTGTAGCAGTCAGAGTAAGCTATCTCACAAGGGTTCTGAATACGAAAGTAAAGTAAACCACTATGAAAGAAGCATTACTTAACCACTTCATGGATAGAAAGTACTTTACTGGGCTAGTTATAAACCCCCATTGTCAGAGTACATACTCAGCACAGATGAAACACATAGATGCTCAATAAGTATTGAATGAACAAATAAATGAAATGAATTGATGAATTTCCTTACCAAGCTTCTGAGATTCAATCCCAGCAAACAAAATTAGCGATTGTTATCATTCCACAGCTAAATAATATGTAAGATGAGACACTTTAGTTCACCATGTGACGTATTTTTGTTAACAGCTTTACTGATATGTAATTACTATACATATAGTTCAATTTTTAAAGCCAAGTAATCCTGCCAGACATGTTGGTGCATGCTGTTAATCCCACATTTGAGAGGCATCAGCAGGCAGATCTCTGTGAGCTCAAGTCTGTTCTACAAAGGGAGTTCTATGACAGTCAGGGCTACATAAGTTCCTGTCTCAATTTTTTTTCTTTTTTTAAAAAGTGTCATTCTAAGTATATTAATTCAATGTTTTGGGTTTTGTTGGGGGATGAGGGGAAAGTTTTTTGGATTATTCACAAGACTGAATAATCATAAAAAATGTTAGACTATGTTTATCAGTTTGAAAGTAGAGTAGAAGCTAGGCATAGTGGTATGCACTTTAATCCCAGCACTCAGGAGGCAAAGGCAGGCAAATCTCTTGAGTTCTAAGCCAGCCTGATCTACATCGTGAGTTCCAGGATAGCCAAGACTACATATAGTAAGACCCCATCTCAAAGAGTTGAGCTGGGGATGAGTCTCTGTGGCACAGCACTTGCCAAGCCCTCAGGGTCTAGTCCCAGCACTTTCAGTTAAAAAGTAACTAAGTAAGTGAAGTTATAATTATGCACATCAGTGCCTCTTACTTGTCAGATAGCCTGAGAGGAGACAGATCTGTCAATGGGGTCTGAGGCTAAGCAGACTCAAGAAAGTCCCAGAATGATGACACTTTGCTGCTGTAATCTAGCAACTATTTGATCCTCAGCAGGTTGCTAGAGACAAAGACACTCAAAGGAAGGCATATGTACAAAGCATTTACCATAGTGCTTAACTTAAAAGAGATCTCAACTCTTTCCCTTCCATTTTTTCTCCTTAGCAGGACACAGGCCAATAAAATGCTTAGCCCTGAGGATTTACTGATGCTTTCTCAGTCGGCTCCTAGAACATTACCTAAAACAGTTAAAATAGAGGGTGACCTGTTGGGAAGAAGGGGTTCAGTGGGAGAGGGAAGAGATCAGAGAGGATGACAGAAGAGGGGTGTGAAGACTAATCTTGGCTGTCAACTTCACAGTATCTGAATCAACTAAAATCCAAACTGCTAGGCACTCCTGAGAGGAATTTTCTTAGTTAGATTATCTGAAACAAGATCTGTCCTAAATCTGGGCCACATCTTCTGGTGGCAGCCCACATTAAAGACTGTGGAAGAACTTTGCTTTTTAGTCTGTTTGCCCTCAACCTCAATGGTAAATTCATCCACCCTATTGCTGCAGCAGGCACTAAATCCAAATTCCAAATTCTTCCGGATTCCAACACAGACTGAAGACCAGCAGCTCTCCAGGAATGCACCAGGTTGTGACCACAGAGACTAACAACTACCAGATTTTAAGCCTTTCAGTCTTGAGACAGCCATTTTTGAACTACCAGGACCATATTCTATCTGTTCCTTTGGAGAAGCCTGACTAATACAGAGAAAATATAATCAGAGTGGGGGGGGGGGGAGGGGAGAGAGAAATAAAAATTTTAAATTAAAAAAATTACCTAAAACAGGGTAGATATCTCATAAGCATTGAATGTATTAATAAATGTTCTTACCAAGCTCTTGGGGTTCCCACATGTAAGGATCAACCCCACCATAGCTGAATGATTCATATCCTTGGGTCCCTGGTTCCACTCGATCATCTCCTTCTCGTTTCAACAACTTGTTTTTTGCTTTCCTAGCCTTCTGAACAAGATCTTGAAGAAATAAAACAAATAGCACAAATGAGTCCAAGATTTTATAAAAACAATCACCTGATTTTTAAAATACACAAGAATATTCAGATCTCAAAAGATATACAGCAGTAAGTAAAGTCCTTCTTACCAACCCCACAGAAGTCAGGGCCAGCAGAATGCTGCTCATGTTTCCAACATACAGGCTAAGTTACTGCTTACTCCCAAGTTTAATAGTACATCTAAACATAAAGAGCCAAATCAATTCAATGAGGAAGGAAAGCAGGATGGTCAATTTTTGTTTGCTTTCAGACAGGGTCTCTCTATATAGCCCTGACTATCCTAGAACTTGCTACATAGATGACACTTACCTTGAACTAGCAGACATCCACCCAGCTCTGCCACCAAGATTAAAGGTGTGTGCTACCATGCCTGGCACACATCTTCATTTTGCCAACAAAACTGAACTATCCTAAGCAAAAAAGGCAGTCTGTGCCATTTGACCACTTTGGACAGTAAAGGGACTGTCTAGCAGAGTCAATGTAGTCTTTCCAAAGGAGCCCAGTTAACCAATTCATGCATATTTGAAAACAAAACAGAAACTACAGTCAATTTTCAAACACCTTTTCCTCTGCCTACTGTAAAATGGCTTAAATACAGCTGGACCAGAGTCAGGGGCTCAAACCCATAGACACCTTTCAGAAATGGTGAGTTGATTTTATCCATTTAAAACTGCCTCCAAGAGGCCAGTGAAATAGCTCAGCAGATAAAAAGCACTTGCCACCAAACTTAAAGACCCATGTTTGATCACCAGAACCCAAATGATAAGAGAGAACTTACTCTAGTAAATTGTCCTCTGATCTCCACATATGTACCATGGCAAATGCTTCAACCAACACAAAATAGATGAATAAATGTAATTTTTAAAAACTGCCACCGGGCAGTGGTGGCACTCGCCTTTAATCCGAGCACTTGGAAGCCAGAAGCAGGCAGATTTCTGAGTTAAAGTCCAGCTTGGTCTACAGAGTGAGTTCCAGGACAGCCAGGGCTACACAGAGAAACCCTGTCTCGAAAAAAGAAAAAAAAGAAAAAGAAAAAAAAAAGAAAAAGAAAAAAAGAAGGTTCTTGGGTTGGAGAGATAGCTCCACAGTGGTTAAGAGCACTCACTGCTCTTCCAAAGGTCCCAAGTTTAATTCTCAGCACCCACATGGCAGCTCACAACTGTCTAATGCTGCCCCAGGTGTGCAGATGTACATGCAGAAGAGTATCTATATCTACATAAATATATAAATAAATAAATCTTTAAAAAAGAAGGAGGAGGAAGAGGAAGAGAAAGAGAAGGAAGAGGAAAGAGGAGGAGGAGGCTCCTGTAGGGGGCTAGAGAGATGGCTTAATAGTTAAGAGCATTTGCTACCCTTCAGAGGACCTGAGTTCAATTCACAGCATTCACAACTATCTGTAACTCCAGTTCTAAGACACTCAATACTCTCTTCTGGCCTCCATGGACACCAGACATACAAACAATAAATATATTCGCAAAAACATCCACATTAATTAAATAAAAATAATAATTTAAAAAATAAAATGTTACCTATGGAAGTCTGAGGACACCTCTAACCTTTCTACAAGCTGGCCTAACCAGGCTTCTGAGTAGCATGGTGTATGATTGAGGTCAGCAATGCCAGGAACGGAAACTCTTTGAAAACTCTTTGGTCGTTCACAGGAAGTTTAGATAATCTGTTTTGGGGTTTTTTTCCCCCACTCACCCCCCACAACCCTTCTGGAAATTGCAATGTATGCTGTAATCAGAATAGAGGGCCTTTCATCATATGCAATGCCCTGTAGAAAAAGCTGTATACTGGACCTCCAGGTGGCAGAACATATGCATTCCATGCCCATTTCTGCCAATTGTTGTGTGACTTTGAAAACATTACTGTATATTTTTGAGCCCCAATTATCTATAAAATGACACCAAGCAATGCTTCCTGGGAGAGTCTAGTGACATGACAATGCATATGAAAGAAACTGCAAGCCGGGCAGTGGTGGCACACGCCTTTAATCCCAGCACTTGGGAGGCAGAGGCAGGCGGATTTCTGAGTTCGAGGCCAGCCTGGTCTACAGAGTGAGTTCCAGGACAGCCTGGGCTACACAGAGAAACCCTGTCTTGAAAAACCAAAAAAAAAAAAAAAAAGAAAGAAAGAAACTGCAAGCATTACAAAGCACCACCCTTTCCTGTAGTCTCTTAGCAGTTCCTGGTTCTGCTTCAGTGTCTATAGTCAGGAGTTTCTGGACAATCACAGCTCTGAGTACTCTAAAAAACATCTGACTTCATCATGTCTTTGTATAAAAGTTGCAACTAATGTTATGTTGATATTCGACAGGGTTGTTTTGTGTAGCCTTGGCTGTCCTGGAACTTAAATCTATAGACCAAGCTATCCTTGAATTCAGAGATCCACCTGCCTCTGCCTCCAGAGTGCTAGGATTAAAGACAAAGGCATGTGCCATCACTGGCCGGCTCTTTTTTTTTTTTTTTTTTTTTTTAAATGAACTGAAAAATGAAGTAGGGAAGTCCAGGGTCAAATATTTGATTATAAGAAGCAAGCGAGTTATGTGTCTGGAGGACAGAGTGCACTAGAAATGCCATCTAGTGGTTCAGCCCTTCTCTCCACCCAGTAGATTATAAATCCAGTGTCCACACTCCATCTCTTGTGGCCTCCAGAAATGCTACCAACTGGGAGATGCAACTTAGCTCACACATGGAGTGAGAGATGTGACTTAGCCACTAGGGAAGTGAGCTCCAGAGGAACAGTGACTTATTTGGAGGTTAGAACACTGGGTACAGTTCAAAATTACCTTTGAAGATTTCTCTCTATAATTGGAAGCTTTTTAAAAAAAAAAAAAAATTAACTTTGGGGGTTGCTTTTCTTTACCTTCAACTGTTACATTCCTTTTCTGGGCTGTAGATGGCAGGGTCTAGCTGGCAAAGGAATGATGGTAGGAAGGTTTAAATTAGTGGCAGGCAAATGGTATGTATTAGGCCTCCACTTTTTTAGCGAAAGATAAGCATTTTTGTCCAAACTATTCCAGCTGAAGGCAAGATAATCTGAGTAATCAGTGAGAGATGCAGATCACAGTGGTAAACTTGTTAGCTTAAAGCTAAGCGTACTCCATTTGAGTAACTTCAGGTAGGCTATCAAATCTCTCTGAGTCTGGTATCCTAGCCAGAAAAGTAGAACCCACAATAGCATAGCTTTCATGTAGATAAATAAGGACCAGGCCTGGGAGTGCATGCTTTTAACTTCTAGCACTCAGGAGGCAGAAGTGGGCAAACAGATCTCTGTGAGACCAGCCTGGTCTACATAGCGAGCTCTATGACAGCCTGGACTACATAGAGACCTGGTCTCAAAACAACAACAACTGGTAAATAAATACACAGAGAATCAACAACACAGAACACAAGCATTAGATATCTGCTTGCTACTATTATTATCAGATCATAACCAAGTGGAAATATGAAAGCCTGTAAATCTATTCCATTAACTAAGGTCTCTTCAATAGAATGAAATGAGAAAGACCCTCGCTTCTTACTTTTAATTTGCCCTTTGACATCACGATCTTCTGAGTGTTCTTCCTCATAATGTGACTGAAGTTGATAGAAAGACTGAAGGTCCTTCAGGCACAAAGGGCACAGGAAGCCTTCCCTCACTTCGCCTGGGTCATCAAGAGACGCCATAGTTGTGCTTCTCTCAACCCCAGGAAGGCAGGAACCTCATGCCAAGTCAGCTTGATTCCTCCCACAGGAGCAGGATTCTGGCAGTGTTAGCTTGAGCAGGCAGCAATAGGATAACGGGGAAGTGACATTGTGGCCTTGGATGATATCTCCTCTCTTCAGCAGAAGGAATCTAAGAAAAACAAATGTCAATTGAAGCAAATAAGCAGCAAACAAAAGATTTCTGTTTTTCCCACAGTTCAACAAAGGCACAAGTTTGTAACAAGATTAATGTTTGGTACAAGTTCGTGGAAACAAACTGTTTCTCAAATCCTTAGACCAAGATATGAGAACAGCACAGAACACACTGGTAAATCAATGAAGTGGGAAGTAGAGTCCTACAGAGAAGCAAACAGGATCCCACGGCATTTCCTTTAAGGTCATTTTAACTGGCCTGACCTCATTATTTGAAAGGATTTTTTTTCTTAGTACTAAGGATATGACATAGAACTAGCACATAGTAGGCAAGTCCCCTACCACTAATTACACCTGGTCCTTTTTGCTATTCTTGTTGTAAGACAGGGTCTTGCTAAGTTGCCTGGACTGGTTTGGAATCACTTTGTAGCCTAGGTAGGCTCTGAACTTGTTACTCTCTTGCTTTAGACTTGCAGAATTTGTGGAATTGCAGGCTTAAGCCACCAGCATGGCCAACATCATGATTTCCACGTCATTTTAGTTACTGAGGAAAATATGTAACGTACTTTTTTTTACTCTGCCACATATATTGAGCTCTTGGTAGCTGTTAGGCACATGTGCTAGAAATACAAAGGCCAGGAGCTAAGTGTAATGGCTCATGACTATAATATCAGCGCTGTGTGTGTGGAGGCAATCAGGAGGAACCTGAGGTGGAGACCAGCCTGGGCTTCACAGTGACATTCTGTTTCAAGAATCCAAAACAAGATGGGTAAAGTGTATGCCATTCAGTGGGTAAAGTATATCCCTCTAAGTTTGATTGCTAGGACCACCCTAAAGGTAGAAAATCAACTCCCAAAGGTTGTCCTCTGATCTTCATATATATATACCACACCTAAGTGTGTAAACATCATACAAACACAAAATAATTTAAAAAGAAAAGTGGCATCATACACACAAAGTATTTTAAAAAGAAAAAAATTAATGTTATTTTTAAATACCAAAAAGAAAAATAACAACAAATACAAACAAAAAAACCTTTCAACCTTCCCTTAAAGAAGAATATTTTTTTAAAAAAAATCAAGAGCCAGAGAGGTGGCACTTGCCACCTACCCTGAGTTTGACCATCATAAATAAATAAAAGTAGAAAGAGAGACTAAATTCCTGAAAGTTGTTCTCTAGCCTCCACACACTCAGGCCCCTCCACACAAAATAACTGCATTTTTAAATTAAGATTAAATAAAAAAAGAAGAAGAAGAAGAAGGAAATAATCAGGGCAGCTTGGTGATATGTTCCAGCACTTTGAAAAGTCTGAGGCAGAAGAATCCTCATTTGAATCTAGGAATTCAAAACCAGTTTGGCCAACATAGCAAACTGTCTCTTAGTTTACATGAATGGATGGATAAAATTAATGAAAAATATATTTTGCATTTACAGTGTATTGATGCATTTACTAGATTTTATAAATTAGAACAGTGGGGCAGCAAGTCTAATATTCTCTGTGCTGCAACAGAAAAATCTGATACTTAAACATCTCAGGACTTTATAACTTAGATTTTCTCTTATTGGACCACAGCAAAGTCACTGTTAATGTGACCTTGAAAGACTCCTAACCATAGATAACGAGGATAAAATCATTTCACAAAAGCAAAGAAATCTGTTTCCAAGACCTTGGAGGCCACATATCACAGCAGACAGTGGGGGAGTTTGTGTAGCTAGACATGTGGTGTGCTGCAGAGGGCACAGAGGAGGATACAATCTGGTCCTCAAAGGTGAAGGGTGGCAGCAACTCAGAAACTAAATAAATGGGACACTAGGTGCCTGTTGTTTCCCTTAATTAAGAAATCTGACAGGTGTGGTGGTGTTCGACTTTAATCTTAGCACTTTGGGAGGCAGAGGCAGAGGCAGGCAGTTTGAGGCCAGCATGGTTTACATGACAAGTTCCAGGCCTGACATAGGTACATAGTGAAACCCTTTCTTGAGACTAAATAAATAAATCTAGAGACTACACACAGGCAGACCCGTCCAGAGAGATATCTGAGGCATTACTTAAACAGCCAGCGCCAGGTCTGACCGGTTCTCTCACCACCAGCCAGTGGCTGACAGGATCCTCTGGATGTGACAGCCGCCTCCTCCCAGCCTGCACTCATCCTTAAAAAGTCAAACATAGGCTGTCCCCATCCACCCTGGCCACACATTGCTGCTCAATTCTCACCCTGGAGAAACGCCCCTTACTCAAGGCAGGCTCCGGCCAAGATGCCTCACAACAGCTGCCTCGGGGTGCCAGAGACTGCACAGAAGTGAAATGACTAAATAATACAAGACCGCAGCCAGTGAGGAGAGCCTGTGATTTTCGCCATCACCAAGAGAACTTGGTGGTCTAGCGCAGTATCTGACATACACACACACACACACACACACACACACACACACACACACACACGAGCGGCATTAACAGGGCTCCATGAATGAAGTGGGGGACCCTAACATAAAGTCACTTAATTATGCGCCACCACAAACCACCGAAATAGATGCCGCAACCAGAAGCCCAGTTGTGCAAACTCTCGCATCCAGACTGGATTGAAAAACCCAGCCGGGGGCAGTGTAGAGGTCTGCACGACCACGCGCACCCGCGGGACGCAACTCTGCGGGCGCCACGCAACACGTCGCGGGCAGAGACCCGCCGCTGAGGCCCGCAAAGCCTCATCTCCCAACCGCATCGTCCTCTCAAACCACACGTCACACCCACCTCAGCCACCGCCGGGCTCTCTGTGGCGGCTCCAAGCAGGGCGACACCCTTCCTCACTCCCTGCGGCTTCCGACAGGAAGCTGGCAGCCTACTCTCCACCTCCGGTCCCTACTGCCGACCTGCGAGATTCCTCAGAGACCAGCGGCAGCCATCGCCATCGGCGGCTCGGCGCTCGACAGGCGCGCCGGGCAGAAACCGGAAGACAGACTGACACGCACCGATCGAGCGCCGAGTCCTCGAGTGTACGGAAACTAGAAGAAAGAGGATGCTGCGCACGCGCTGCCGCAACGGGGCGGGCCCAGTAGGAGGAGGTGGAGCGTGGTAACTACGAAGTTCTCTTAGGTCCTAGCAACATACAACAGGCTTTGTGAAGCCTATCACCCGCCCTTCACGCACCCTATATATAGGTGGGGTCACTGAGGCTTTGGCTCTTAAATAATGTGCCTGCAGCGCTAACTTTATTCAGGAACCATTAAAAAGTTTCTGAGGTTTTTGGAGCGATGCCTTAAATGATACAATGGCTATGCTTCCAAAGGACCTAGGTTTGAAAAACCGCTTGTCTGCTACCTATGCCTTCTTCTGGCTTCCATGGGTTCTGCACACGTGGTGCACAGACATGCTGGGAAAACACACATACAAAATTTTGTTTAAAAAAATTTTTTTAAAGTTTCTGAGTGTGAAAGACTAAGTTATGTTCAGCATACTGAGGAGACAGAAAGAGGTGGAATTGAGTCAAGGAGGGTAGAGACGTTGCGAAGGTGTGTTAGGGATTGGAAGTTGGCTCAGATGGTCCTGGTTGGGGCTCAGTCTCCACCACATGCCCATGCCTGTAACCCCAACACTCTAAGGATGGAGGCAGGAGGACCAGAAGTTTAAGGTAATTTTCAACTACATAGCAAACTTAAAGCCAGTCTGGGTGGGATACATGAGACTCCATCTCAAAAAGTGTACCGAGGCTTTGTGGGCCTCAAAAAGCATAAAAAGGTATGAGGTGGCTAGATCTCTGTAAAATAAGTGGCATTTACAAAAGACAGTATAGCAGCTCAAACCTCATTTGTTTTGAAAGCAATGGCAACATGCCGGGAAGTTTGTGGATAATTATGTAATTATGAAAGTCAGTGGATTGGCTACTACTGTTGTGTTGATTTTCATTTCTTAAGCACTAGGAATGAAACTTTGTACACACTAGGCAGGCACTGGGCTGTGCCGCTAGCCCTCTACTGATACTTTAAGAATGATAGTGGCATTCTGAGCATGGTAGAACACACTTGCAATCTGTATGCGTAGCACAAGCCTGGAATTCTAACAACTGGGAAGTGGAGGAAGAAATAACAGATGTTCAAGGGCAGCCACAGTTCCACAGTGTGGGCTCAGCTTGGACTATAGCAGTCTTGTCTCAACCAAACAACCAGCAAGGGCAGATAACTAGCCAGCCAACCAGCCAGCCAGCCAGCCAGCCAGCCAGCAGAGGAGATAGCTAAGTCAGTAGCCCTTGAGCACAGGTGAAAGGTTGTCATGGCGCAGCTTGTAACAGATCACAGCAGACTAGCCGGTTCCATGAGGGGAGGTTTATTAAGAGAGTGGGAGAGCGGGAGGAGAGCGAGAAGAGTAGAGAGGGTAGAGGCCGGCCATGACCACGTGGAGAGAGGGGGAAGGGAAGGGGTGAGGGGAAACGGCAACCTGCAGGCACGGGGTCTCAGGACCAAGAGAGAGAGGAGGGGCCAAGCAGCCCCTTTTATAGTGGGCAGGGCTACCTGCCTGTTGCCAGGTAACTCTGGGGAGGAGCATACCTGGCTGTTGCCAGGTGACTGTGGAGGTGGAGTTTAACAGATTACTAACAACAGGGACCTGAGTTTGGATCCCTAGAACCTACATTAATATCAGGCGTGTCAGGGCATGCCCATAATAAAGTAAGTATGGAGAAAGTGCTTGCTCCTCCTCCTCCCTACTGAAGAGGAAGAGATGGGCAGATCCCTGGGGCTCTATGGACAGCCAGTCTGGCCAAACTGGTGAGCTTCAGGTTCACTGAGAGACCCTATCTAAAAAAAACAAAACAAAAAAAAACCAATGTGGATGGTCAATAAGGAAGACACCCAATCTTGATCTCAGGCCTTCACATGCAAGCACATAGCTGCACACACACACATACACACACATGCACACGCACACACACATGCACACACATAAGTAATTTTTTTTTTTTTTTGGTTTTTCGAGACAGGGTTTCTCTGTGTAGCCCTGGCTGTCCTGGAACTCACTCTGTAGACCAGGCTAGCCTCGAACTCTCGAACTCAGAAATCCACCTGCCTCTGCCTCCCAAGTGCTGGGATTAAAGGCATGCGCCACCACTGCCCGGCAAGTAATTTTTTTTATTACAAAGGTATTTAGCACATACCAAGTGCAAGATAAATGCCCATTAAAGGGTGTATCCTGGGTCTCTGGCTTGAAGCATCACTTATCATTGCATTGCCCCTAGGTCTGAGAGATCCAAGCTAGAGTGAGGCTTACTCTTCATAGTGGATATTGCTTGTTTCTTTCATGTGTGTTTTTCTCAAATATATTGAAAATGGAAATAAATACTTAAGTAGAAAAGATTAAGAAGTAAGCAAAAAGCTGAACATGGGACTGGTCCCTCAAGCTACCTCCTCTTCCAGACTTTCGTCCCCAGGTACTCCCGTTTGATCATCTGAGATTTAGGTTCACTATCTCTCCCTGGTCCACTCAGCAAACCAAGCTGAGGGAAGGCATCCATCACCCAGGCTCACAAGCCTTCTGCTTGAAGATCTGTTTGCGAGAGCTCAAAGCCCAAAGCACAATTGGGTCCAGGATAATCAGAGGGCAGTGAAGAACCATGTTAGCCACCAGAGGGTGCCATGTAGCCACTTAAGACCCAAGCAAATGGAAATGGCCCAGGTTTCTAAACTAAACTGCTAGCCTGAAATAAGGCTCCTTCTCCTGCGGTGGCCATACTCAACAGCAAATACAAGCATGATATGTCACAGCATGACACACCTTCCTGTTCTGGACTGGACCAGGGCCTTCTACTGAGCCTGGACATGTGTTTCTGTATAGAGCCCCAGCACAGTCTGCTAGGCCTGAAGCCAGTAGAGTTATGAGCACCCCTGCCCACCCAGATGCTCTGGGTGGAAACCTTGGCCATCTTGATTCCTCCGCTCATTCCTATGTTCGATCCATCAGCAGGTCCCTCCCACCCCCCACTTTGAGTAGATCTGAATAATGTCCACTCTCACACCCCTGCAGTCACCCTGCCATCTCCCACACGGGTCAGCTGCGGCAGCCTCCCCACAGTCCTTCCTCTCTGAACTCTCCCTGTATTACCTCAGTCAGACACACCCCTCCTCTCTTCAGCAGCCCAAGGATCTGACAGGCTCAGGAGAAACAGCCTTTGCCAATATCAGGGTGCTCTTGCAGGCTTAGGACCCTGGCTTGGGCAAAGGCTTCTTTCCCATTCTTTCTTGACTGTTCCAGCAGATAGACTCCAGCTTATTCACAAAACGACAGCAGGCAGAACCAGATGAGGTCCCTTAGGCCTCAGTTCAGAGTTGCAACAGTATCACTTCAGCTGGCCAAAGTAAGTCACAAGGCCAGCCTACACTGAAACACTGAGAAATATAGACTGACCTCCTTCGAGTACTACAAAGGATGTTCCTCAGTCAGCGCCAGTCACAGAAGCTCAGGGAACTTAAAACTGCTGCTTTCCAGGGGCAACCCCAAGACAAAGATGGCCACGGGGTTCCTTCTGAGACATTCTCCTTGGCTTTCAGGTAGCAGCTTCCTCCACCTCTTTGTATGATTCTTTTTATGAATATTTCTATCCAGATTTTCTCTAATAAGGATAAGGTTACACTCATAAGTTTCTTTCAATTTATTTCCTCCTTTGGTTTTTATTTTTTCTTTCAAAAGTATTGTTAATGAATTCTTTTAGAATTTCATACACTGTTTTTGGTTTCTTCTTTCTTTTCTTCCTTCTTCCCTCCCTCCCTCCCTCCTTCCCTCCTTCCCTCCCTCGCTCACTCTCGCCCTCCCTCCCCCCTCCCCCCTCCTTTCTTTCTTTCTTTCTTTCTTTCTTTCTTTCTTTCTTTCTTTCTTTCTTTCCTTCTTTCTTTCTTCCTTTTTTAAAATTTGAGACAGGGTCTCAATGTATAGCCCTGGCTAACTTGGCACTTACTATGTAGACCAGGCTGACCTCAAATTCACAGTGATCTGCCTGTCTGCCTCCCAAATGCTGTGATTAAAGTAGTATGCCTCCATGCCCAGATTCATACAATGTGTCTTGATCATGTTCACCCTAATCTCTCCCCTAATTCTTTCCAGACACATAACCATCTCCTCCTCAAGGTCTTCATGTGCTCTCCTTGTTTGTTGCTTTGTTGTTGTTGTTGTTGTTTTTCCAAGACAGGGTTTCTCTGTATAGCCCTATCTTGGAACTTGTGCTGTACACGGGACCGGCCTTGAACTCACAGACATCCATCAGCCTCTGACTACGATTAAAGGCATGTGTCACCATCAGGTTGTTTTTTCCCTTTTTCCAATAATCCATTTAGTCCAGTTTGTGCTGCCTATAAGCTCTGGGTGGGGGCCACGTACTGGAGCATGATTGACCTTTCAGTGTCCACACCCTTAAAGAAAGCTGACTCTCACTCCCCAGAAACCATCAACTGTCCGTAGCTCCTCAGAAGGGAAACTTGTCAACACTTTCCTTCTCCTTGAGCCTTGGTCATCCTGTGCAGGCAGAACCTCTACCGACCAGTCTTCCCCATCCCTAGATGTGTCCCCAGGTCCAGGATGGACACTAGCTGATATAAGGAATGGGGCAGGACCCATATCTCTCTTGTAAGGAACAGAAACAGGGACCACCCAGGCCTCTTTCCTTTGTTCTGAAAACACTGGGTTGTTTCTAGTCTAGGACCCTTGAACTGGGATCCTCCCATTGGGCACCACTTGGAGCCTATTCCAGACACATTCCTGCCAGGCTACATTTTGTTTCCTTTGCTTGGTGTTTTTATTTGGGTTGGTTTGTTGCAGCCCTGGAGATGAGACCCAGGACCTTGCAAATGCCAACCAGTACTCTCCCCCGAGCTGCACTCCAGCCAACAGATAGTCCCCCATTTACATGCTGTTCTCCATTTCTCTGCCTTTG